ACAATTAAGAAAAACGGTAACCATCATCATCGTTAATCAAAGTTAACTCTTTTCATCGTCAAGATTATCATGCTAATTAGAAGGCAACTGATGAGGGAGTTTCATGAATTTGGTACAAATGATGAGCATGGCGATTATCATCATGTACACTTGATTAAGTGAAACAAATTAAATATCATAAACTGTTGATCGTTTTAAGTTACGGAAACACAATTTAATCAAATTCTCAATATGATGAGACTTATTTTTTTTCCTGTTTTTCAGGCATCTTCATGTGATCTTCATCTTCATCTTCATTTTCATCTTCACTCTTTTCTTAGTCTTGCTCTATTTAGTTACTTAGTTAATTTATCATCAAACCTTTTCTTTTATACTACATTTTTCACTCCAACAATCAACTTACAGGTTCTCATTGTTGTTCACTTGTTGATTGTGATTGTTACAATTAAATGGCCTTAACTTGTATATTAAGAATCTACATGTTATGGCCTCAATTGGATGAAGATCATCAAGATAATAGTAATGAAATAATGATAAAAATAATGATTACAATTCATGATAATCTTGCTGTCTTCATGTCAATGATTATCATGATGTAATTTTCAGATCCATTTAATATCTTCAAGTAAAGATTAGTATATTATAATCAAGGCTTAATTATAACATAATTTTCATTAAGTCAAAATGTAAACATTAAACCCAAAAACAAATTAATTGATCTTATAAATGTGGAAGAAAAAAAAAATATATATCTTAACCATTAATTGCTATCAATAATGATAACAATTAATCTTACAACCGCCGGAATCATGGTTCTACAATTAAAGTAGATTTTACTGTTCCCATAGTTAAAATTGTTGTTAATTGCAATTGAATCAACGTTGATGCAATAAAAAAAATTAATTGTCCAAACGTTAGCTAAGCGTATAGAGAATAAGTGAAAAAAAAGTTCCAATTGTAACAATAGTTTATGAGAAAAAAAAATTACAACAATTTACTAATAGTCGATGATAATTTAATAACTAAACCAAACAAGAGAGAAAGTGAATTGAATACAAATAGAGTAAAGTTTCAATTGAAATTGAAAGTTACAATTGAATCAATCTGATTTCTCACACATATGTCACAAATTCATCATGATTATCATGATGATTGAGACTAAATTGTTGCAGGAAAAAAATTACATTTCATTGAGCATATTAAAAACAATGAAAACTATTTACTTGAGTCTTTACATTTAGTTAGAGTTGTTTGTTAATCCATCAAGTGAAAGTATTACAAGTAAACACCAACAGTAAATAAGATACAATTGATTTTCATATTGAAAATGCAAGAAATTGATAACAGAAAAAAAAACCGATAATAAATCAAAATCAATTGTCAATGAAAATGGTCAACTCAATTACGGGTCAAATGTTTTACACAAGATTGACCTTAACTTCAATAGTAAATGACAATTTGGATAACATGTTACCCAAATGATCAACATTGGAACCACAAGGAAGAAAAGAGTTTATTTGTCAACTCTGGAGAAGAAAAAATTGATTCCAATCATCATCATCAATCTAATAGAATTAATTTGCAAATGATTTATATTGATGTTTCTTTCTGACTCTTTCTTTGTTTTCTTCATTATCGTCTTCCTACTTAAAATGTTTCGTCTTCCTTAATGGGCAATGACACAGGGAGATGGAGAAAATGGTTCCTCAAAAACAGCGGAGGCACAAATTTTGGCATCGAAATGATTATGCCTTTGACACGAGAGAAGATGGAGCAACATAAGGTAACAATAATAAAACAGAGGATCAGAGAACTTTAGTGAGATGCTATTTAGAAGATGAAACAAAAGCTTTCAGATGGAAAAGAAGGTGCAAATGATGATAATTCGCCTTGCGAACGCCAACAGAAACAAGACTTTTCTTTTTCTTTTTCGCAAGTTAAAAACCCAAAATAATCTTAATGTATGTAAATATCTTCATGTGTATTTTCATACTACATCATCCTTTCTTCCTGTTCCTTTATTTTTCTACTCAAATTAAAGTAACCAAAGTTGCTTAAAATATCCGGTTAAAGGAAGCACAAAAGATGTGCTAATCCAAGCAACAGAATAAGAAGAGACCTAGAATGGCCTTTGGTTTCGGGTTAACAGTAAAAACTTGAAACCAGTTCAGTTTGATTATCAACAAGAGAAACAACAACATCATCAAACCCTGTAGGTCCTCTCAGAATGATATAACAACAACAGCAGAAAAAGGATGAGGATAAACAATGTAAACTGTTGAAAACATCTTTTTTTGCTTGAATAAAAAGCAATAAATGATAACCATAGATGATCAAGAGAGAGAGAGAGAGAGAGAGAGAGAGAGAGAGAGAGAAATGATCATTATTATCATATTCATCATCATTTACAGTATCAACATTATTCTCATAACTATGAATCTATGGAAACATTTTAAAACCAAAAATAACCAATGATGATAACACAGGAAGAGACTCAAAACTCAAGTGAAACTTATTACCCAAACTTTTCATCTTCATCACCATGTTCATCATCCTCATAATCATCTTCGGAATATACATCATGAAAGTGTAAGAAGGCAAACAAAAAAGAGAAACAGAAAAGTAACAAAAATATAATGATTCAGATGATGGAGAGAAAATCTGACTTTCAGATTAACCTTATCTACCTAATCTTCATTTATGAATTTAATATCAATTTACTATGAAAAAAAAACCTGATCAGATTAAATTTATATTTTTTATTCTGTTATTACAATTAACATTATTACCTTAATCATCATCGTCTCTATTATAAATTTAGGAAAAAAGGTAATGTTAACCTGTTCAGAACCTCTTTGCTTTCGTGATCACCAACAAATACAAGGCTCATCATTTTCAAGACCGGTTCGGGGTTCATTTGGAATTGGATAGAGAAAAACTCTGAGGTCAAAGTGTAAAAGATAATTTTAAAATCAACAAGATGATGAGGATGAGGAAACACAGGATGATGATGATGAAGCATAAAAAAGAGGGAGAAACTGTAAAATTGTTATTGTTATTATCATCCATGATCATCAACAATTACCAATTGGTTAAGCTACAGAAAAAAAGGAAAAAGTTTATTCCTCCTTCAACTTTTTAATATTTGCTTTTTTTTCTGGGTTCCAAGTTAACCTTTAACCCGAAACCAGGCCAACAATGAAAATGTGTCTTGACCCTTAAGGGTGGATAGAGAAAAAGAAAAATAAAGGATCAAGTAATATTATGATAGCGTTTGTTGCCTCTGTTAACAAGAAAACATACAATTTATCATTAGCATTTACACACTGATGAATATACTATTGATCGTGCAGTAATAACAACAAAAGTAGACATAAAATTAATGATTAATATGCAATGACCATGTACGAGTAGCCCAGAAAATTCATTGACCATCTAAACCATCAAGTATAAGAGATAAAAAGTCTCAAGGAAACATAATCATAATAATGAGTGAGTAGACAATCAACCAGAATTGATTATGTCTTTGGGAAAGTGTATATTACCATCAAGACAATATTATTATTATTTGCAAGTTGAAAGGGATAACGGAATTAAAATTCAGGTAAGAGATATAACAATGAGAGAAAAGAAGAAGGTTGTAAATGATGCTGTCCATCATTATCATTTAGAATAAAGAAAAAGAAACAAGGTAATCAACATTAAGTATATGTGTTCATTCAATATCTTTGACTTTTTCCTTCTATTCATCATTCGTATTCATTTATCATCATCTTCTCATTGTTATTGTAACATATTACTTGAGATATAATTGGACCAAGGGCAATTGGGAAAGTTACAGTTTCACTTTTCAACAGATAAACAACAACTTACATAATGTGTTTGTGTTCATTGCAATTCAATAACATTGTCTGGTTACAATTAAAACGATGGATTATGTTAATTGATTGTAGAAGAAAAAAAAATCAAGAAGTAATCAATAAGCAAAATATCGTAGCCTTGGACATTGAATGGTAATTGCTTTCAAATGTAATACTAATTTTTCCCTGTTGAAACCTTTCAACATGTAATATGTTCAAGTCAATGATGGTTTTTGTTTACATCAACAAATGAAGAAATGAAAACAAACAGAGTTAGAGAGAGAGGGAGAGAGATAAATAGAAAAAAAAATAGAAAAAAGTAAAAATTTGCCACAGGCTGAAAAGATCATGAAATTCGTATCATGTTATGTTAATTATGATCAACAAGAGAGGATCAAAAGTTAATAAAGATAATTAAGATTATTAAATAATATTAATATGACATGAAACATTTGTAATTAAGATCAGATTGAGAGAGAGAGAGAGAGAGAGGAAGGATAAGCATCATTTGAGAGAGATTAATAAAGGGCGTTTATCAACATTATAATCACCATTGGATAAGCTTTACTTCATCTTCGCGTCACTAACATCTACTCTCTCAACTGAAATTGATTGTTTCTGATACTTTGAGTTGAATGAAAGTCCACACCCAGGGTAAACTTTTACTTTCAGCTATTATTTGAGTATCATGTCTTAACAAGATGGACGACGACTAAGAGGATGAAAATGGTTAGCTGATTACATTAGCATAACCGAAAAACGTTTACTTGTATCGTTTGTGAGCATCAAACTTTCAAGAGTTCATTTCAGGTGAGTAACAAACACACAGTATATTTGGATAAGTGTAAAAAATATGATCTGCAAGGTTGAAGGGAGGGAGGGATAAGGTTAGGTTGTAATGGAAAAAGGCTTCAAATATAAACACAAGAGTAGGAAAAGTTGGTTTCTGTTAATGGTTATTGTTGTTTACCTGTAAACTCAAAGGGATTTGATTGACGAGGACAGTGTTTTGAAAGGAAAAGGTAAGAATCAGTTAAGAAGAAGGTTATTGTGTTTTTTTCTCTTTTTTCAAGTTAGAAGCTTTTTCGGGTTTGGATGAAAGAGAGAGAGAAAAGGAAGAGAAAAAGGATAAAGACTAACCTCATGACCGGAAGATGGTTCCTCCCAAAGTGTTTCCAAGGTTGACGGTTGACCTGTTGATGGAATATTATTGGTATTATTAATTCCGACTCCACCAGGATTAACTCGGCCATGTTGTTGATAATGGGCAGTATTTGATTGAGTTATGGTTGAATTTTGATTAGTATGACAACCAAGTAGATAACAACAGTGGCAGACATTTTCATTGGCACTTGGTGATGGTATTATTGGTGTTGATGAATTAATTGTTTCACTTGTTGGTGTTGATGTTGATGATGATGATGGTTGATAATTATTTTGATTGTTAACACAATTTTCAACATGATGATTATGAAGTAGTTGCTGTGGAGATGAATAAGACATTTCGGTTACCAGAGATGCTGATGATGATGATGATGATGGTGGTAAAACTGTTGATGACACTGAGACGTCAGATGTTGAAGAGGAAGAAGGAGAAGATGATAATGATGATGATACTATTGATGGTGGGGAAATTGAGGATGTTGGTGATGAAGATGATGAGGATATTGAGGAGGAGGTTAATAAAGTTGGTTTAGATGATGATACAGAAGGAGGAAAGGTTGGTCCGTTAAAGATCAATTTAGGCGATGGTGAACAATCCGATACAGGACTCGGTGTTGAACTGAGAGTTCCAGTATTATTATTATTACCTTGATTGTTGTTGTTGATATTATTTTGATGATGATCTTTATTAAATTCAGGGCAACTTGATTTTCTTAATCTTCGTCCCAATTTGGTTGGTAGAGTGAAATATTTTTTACTATTTGATCGTTTCGATAACTCTTTAACTGTTAATCGCAGAGATTCATTACTGGTTGAATCGTAAGCTGAATCTTCATCACCATAAAAATTGGGTGTTGGTGGATCATCAAATAGGGAGGTTATACTATTACGACGGATTTGTTTGAGATCATCAAAGTTGTTTAATCCATAATAAATCCGCTGTGGGGGCTCTGGTGGAGGTCGGGGTAAAGTTAATTGTAATGATTGACGTTGTTGTTGTTGTTGATTTGAGTTCATGGTACTGTTGTTACCTGTGTTAGTATTTACATTATAACTACTGTCATTAATATTATTGTTATAAATATTTAAACTATTGGACAAACCCACCAATTGATTAAACTGGTTACCTTGAGGACTTGATAATCCAGGTGTAACTGGTGATTCAATTGGTTGGTAATTTTTCAAACTTGGTATTGATGAAACATCACCAATTTTTTGATTATATTGTTGTTGATAATCTTGATAATTAACACAATGATTGTTTGTATTAATTAAACTTTTCTTATCCTCACTGTTTAAATTTTCATTATTATGGTGAGATGATGATGATGAGGTTCCCTGTTGTTGTTGTTGTTGGATTGAATTAATATTGTTAAACATTGTTTTAATTGATTGTAGATGTTGATATCTTGGATTAATTGAATGATTATAATTGCTTCCAATTGTTCCTTGTCTTGTTAATATGGAAGATGAATCACTTGTTATTGTTGAAGAGGAAGATGATGGTGATGATCCTGATCCTGATTCTGATGGTGAATGAATCGATGAATGGTAATAAGATCCACCGCCACGAGGTAATGTACAGTAAAGAGCCATTGTGATCGATGTAAAATCTATGTGGTAAAAAGTAAAAAAGAAACAATAGAAATCGTTTGATTAACTTAATTAAAAGAAACACTAATCAAGAGATACCAAAGAAAAAACCGTTGATAATGATAAACAAAAGGTAGAAAGAGAAAAAGAGAAAAAGATAAACGTGAACTTATCAACATCTAAATAGAAACTAAACCAAGTTACTCAAAACTTGCTTCTTCTCTTCAATTCTCTCCCTTCTGAAGGTTTTTCCTTTTCTCCCTTGTCTTCTCTTTCTTTTTCTCTTTCTATCTTCACCTGCTCTTTCTTTTATCATCTTTCTTTTTCGTCATCATTCTCATCATCATCTTACCCTTAAAAGATTATCAAGCTTTAGTTTGAAGAGAGAGAGAGAGAAAAACACAAGAAAAAACAAATTTCGAAAAAGGAATTAGTTTTTTTTTCTTGTTTCTTTTCTCCTGATTAACTGATTTTTACCTAATTATTTGTGTTTTTTTCTTCTTCAGGTAAATTGTTAATCAAATTTTGATAAATGGTATCAACAAATTCGATCACAATTTAATTTTCTCTCTTTTCGATTAACGTATGATGTATATGTTATCTAATCAAGTTTTTAAATTGTTTCTTTTTTTGGATTTTTAATAGAATACTGATCAATGTTCAATCCTCTCTCTCTCTCTCTCTCTCTCATTCGTGTGTTTTGTTATTAGGAAATTTCAATTCGGCTTAGTGATTGATATTTCATTGACTTAATCAATTCATTAAATTGTTTCATATATTTACAGTTATCATGATCAAAGTTAATTGTCAACAATTTAATCATGATGATGATGATGATGACAGAGCTGAAAATAGAATTAGAATTTTGTTTTTTCTCTCTCAGTTATCATGATAATTGTGGTGACGAAATACAATCAAGAATCATCATAATTGTCTCCATGTGTCAACAATTGTTATCATTTAATTGAGAATATTATTAATTATCATTGATTTTGTTATCTGATTATTCACACTCATCAATAACAATACCAAATAAATCATTATTAATGATTGATTTTCAATTAAATCATCGGCATGATTTAAATACGAAAATAGTTTTATCATTGTAATCATTTTTTGTTTTGAATTATTTTGTTTTTCTTTCATCATTTAATTAATTGATTTAATTAAGTAATTAGAAAAACTACCAATAACAATCAACTAATTCTCATCATTAGAGGTGGATAACAGGCAATCAAAAAGATGAACAATTAACAGAAACAACAATTAACTTGGTTAAAAGTCTTGGTCTCTCAGTACCTTTTTTCTTATATTGTTTATGTTGTTTTCAACTAATTAAATGATTTCTCTTCTATCATTATCATCACTGCCACTAATTAGCAAACTTAATTTACTAATTGTAATCGGTTGATTGTCTTTTTAATACACACAAATTGTAATATCATCTGGATACTTTTTCTCACACTCAAACGGTAGAGAAACAGGAGAGAGAGAGAGAGAACAACTTTTTTTCTCTATCAATTAATATAGATGAATATTCATTAATAAAAGAGAGAATAGAAAAAACAACAACAACAAAAGCTTGGAAATTAATTAAATCAACAATTAAAACTAAATCTTCAAGGAAATTATGATGAATCTATTCGGTTAGAGAGAAAGAGGCGAGAGTTAATCGAAGAATCAAAGTAAATCAATTGAAACAAATCAGTTTCACTAACCAATTAAAATTCTCAATCTTGTGTAACCAATTAGTCGTTTTGATGAGAAACAAGAAGAAGGGGAAAAAAGAAGAATAGAAAATGGGGAAGAAATAATCAAGATGGCGAAAAGAGAATAGAAAATCTAAACCAACGGCTAAAAGATGATAAGTGAAATCAGCGGGAGAAGACACAATAAGATGGAAGAGAAGTTAATTAAATATAACAATTAACAAGTGATTAAGAAGATGATCCGGCGAAAACAGAAGATATTCTTGTCGATACCTTTTTTTCGGGGGATTAATAGGACAGAGAGAGAGAGAGAGAGAGAGAAAGAGGTTAACTACTGAAGGGGAAAGAGAAACATTAGATTGGACAAAGAAAGGAAAATAAAAATGGAGGGAAAAGAGAAAAGAGAATAGAATAAATTAGTGAAGAAGATTAATAAATGATGGAAAAGAATTAAAATAAACCGATAATCCAGTCAATTGGTTGTCATAGGAATATGGATATTGTCACACGAGATATTTTATCTTCATCATCATCACGATCATCATTATGATTAACCTTAAGGGGAGACAATTTAATAGATTGGATAACAGGCAAATAGAATAAAAAACATCACAAATCCACATAATCTATTGAAAGAGAAAAAGAGGAAAAAAAAGACTGAAGATCAAGAGATATGGAGAAAATAAAATAATTTCAATGTCAATGTGAATTATGATTACTAGAGATTCAACAATTATGATTAAACATAACAATCAATTAATAGTAATCATGATGATGATAAAAAAAAACGCAATTACATACCCAATACTTACACAGACCAATAACCTTAACAATCATTCACTGGTTTTCAGTTTCTAATCCACCTACATGATATTCACGTAAAGATAATTGACTAAATTGATGATGATCGTTAATTATTGTTTAATCATAAAACAATTAAGTGAAAAAAAAGAGAGAACAAACATTTGTACAAATTAATTAGAAGAAGAAGATTAAACTAATCACAATTAAGAAACGACATCAAGCCAACAATTTATTTAGATTTTTTTCTATCGATTCCTAGTATCGGATATGTAAAAGATACTAATTAGTATTTTTGATTTGTTTTCTTTTCTCTTTTGTTTAATTACTCTCACTGATTTCCCGGTGATTAGTTGATTAATTGTTACTAATCTTTAGTTGTTATTGCCTTTATTTAGATTGTGAAATAACGGTGAAGAAGAAAAAACAATAAATTGGAAAATGAATCCATAAAAAGGTAAGTGAATGTAATGATCATAAAGAAGCCATTTTTGTCTCATTATCTTCTGTCATCATCTTTGTCTCTCTTTCTCTCTCTCTCTCTCTCTCTCACTTTGTGTCCAAATTTTTATTCTATTCTTTTTGTTTTCTATTATAACAGGTTTCAAGTCATCATCTAGTCTCATCTTCACCTTAATCTCATGAAAAGATTATCTTGAATAATCATCCGGAAGTAGGTACATGATATACCCAAAAAGATAATCTTTGAACCTGAAGTGAGAGAGATTAACAAAACTGGACACAAGCAAAAGGTAAGTTAATTATTGATCCTCACTGATATAATTATAGTCAATGTTGATTTTTTTTTCTCTATATTTTCTCCCATTATGTTTGTTATCACCACACAGGAAATGATGATACTGATAATTAAATGTCCAGGAAATGGTTAAAGAAATTTTCTAGTGTGTAGTTTACCATAGATTCACATGGGAGCTTTTACCTTAATCCTCATCATCATTTCATGTATCATTTTTTTTTTCTGTTGAATATCATCAATTTTTTTCTCCATTTTTTCTTGATGAAAATGATAATATCATTGATCATCATCTTCCTTCCTCTTTTATTATGTTCTCTTTCCAATGTTTATCATTACCTTTTTTGTTACTGTGTCTCTCCCAATCGTTTTCTCTGTCTACCTTTTCTTTTTTTTTCTTCTTCTTAACATTGTTTTCCCTACTCTTCCTTTAACCTGTCAACATTGATGATAATCATGATGGTGATAGAGATAAAGATGAGTTTTTCTCGAGAGAAAGAGATGAAGATGATGATCAAGTATGATGGATTAGCTGAAGACACAGCAAAAAAAAGTAACTAACCAAAGCGAGTCCGTATTTTAGGTGATTTATCTGTGAAACCAGAAGATACATTTTATATTTCACTTCCATTTTTATTGCCTACTTCATCTTTATCTTTATCTTCCTCATCCTCATCCTCATCTTCATCTTGATTCCCTCAAGCTTAATCATCATCATCATCATCACCCTCATAATCACAAACAAGTAAATCAAATCTAATGCCAAAATTATTTTCCTTACCGTTACAGACTCAAAAATAGATGATCCTTGGCTTCATTTTCAATTCTCTAACCTCATCATCAGCATCTTAATCATGATCATTTTCACAATTACAATTCACCAATCATTAAATCATCCTTGATTATCACTTACGACCATTTTTCTCTCATCTCTAATCTATTAATTTGTAAGAAAACATAATTATCCCTCTAAATCATGTAACTAAATCCAATCTAATCAAGAAAAAGCAACTTATTGATCCCTTAATCCTGAATTTCCCATTTTGGTGGTTAACGGAAATCAATTAATTTTATATATATTTATAACTATAATAAATTGTTCAATCATAATCAATCTAACCTCCTCCCTACAATTAGATCTAATCAACGTATTAATACATACTAATTAACTCTTTCTTTTTATTTTTTCACCTCCAAGTTAATCTGCAGATAATAAACAAGGATTAAATGTCCAAGAAAAAGTTAATCAAAATGAGAAATGATTAAACTAAATGTTTCATTAATTTGGACAATTAGATTTAATTATAACTTAATAATGAAAATTAACACTTTCTCCAACTTTCTCAGCTGTTAAACTAAATTAACTAAGCTGATTAAAGCTTAATCATGTTCCAATATCATAATTAATATAACCTGCTGTTGGTTAATTCATTGAAACTGATTATCTAAATTGTTGTTATAATCTAATTTAAATGATATTCAGTTGATTACCATTTAATTGGATTGATTGTGAAAGTACATTAGGAAATAAAATTTCTATCAGATTATCATTAATTTTTATCACAATCAATGGGATTAATTAGTTTAATAATTTGATTGAAATTAAAAGGATATCAAGTGTTACCTTTTAAACAATTTAAAGGGATTAATTGTAAACAATCAACCGATTACAATGTAACCAAATACAAAATTTAAAAGAGGTTACATTGTATCATTTAAATACGGGTTGATTAACATTGGGATGATATTTAATTGTTGTTGTTAATCATGATCAGAAAACACATTGAGAATGACCTAAATTGTTGAAGCTCTTAATTGTAAAAACTAATGTTTATTTAATAATGAACAATTTGAATTGCACGATCTCATCGGTACACTAATTAATTGTAAATATCAAATCAAAGTCAAATTGATATTTACAATTAGTTTCACTGGTTTTAATTGTGATAATCAATATAATTAATATAATGATAATTTCCGTGATTAACTTGATTCAGTTTGTAAATATCACGAAATTAAAAAGCTTCTGTTTGTTTTGTTTGTTCATTAGTTGATTAAATTTCAATGATAAAACAACAATCAACTAATTGATTTGATCCAATCGATGATTTGAAAAGCAATTAAACCTTTACAATTAATAATACAATAATTGTTAACACAATCAAAGCAAAAAAAAATCAACATTTATTAACATAAAGTGACCGTTAATCATGATCACAACTTTAATTGTGATGATTATCCTTCAAGCAATTTAAATCATCGTGGTAATTAACGTTAACTATGATGATGATGGTTAATCACAATCAAATTTAGGACAATAAAAAAAACTTGATTACAATAAATTTCTTGGCTACAATTTATCGTTTATTTGATTCACTTTCTTGATTGTTTACAATCAAAGATGATAAACAATCAAATTAAATTGTGATCATCATCAACTACAATTGTTACACTTAAATACTTGATTGTTATTCAAGAAACAATCAAACGTTTAAATTAACCATTGGATTGAAATACTTGTCATTATTATTAAATTGTTTCATTGATTGTGATGTTTTTTTTTGTTTCACCGAATCACAATTAAGGTTCACAATTGTTTTTATCGTTGATTTTTTTCTTACATTTGATTGTTGTCGTTTTTATTTGTATTGTTTAAAAATAGTTTACTGATTGTTCAAACAATCATTCACCTTAACATTCAAACTGAATTACAATTTAATTCATTCAGAAAAACCTAAATTGTTCAGAGGAGATTTGAAATTGTTACAAGATCATAATAATAATATAACATGAATTGAATTTCATGAGACAATTTCATAGACTTAAATTGTAAACACTAAGGATAAGCTGTCACTTTAATTGCTAATCATTTGCTACGTTAGTTAACTGATTATAATTTCTTGGCATCATTTAGTTAATCATCTCGTTTCCTATGCAACAATCAATGTTAATCCTTAAAGCTTAACATCGGAATCATTATGAACTTTTTCATATTCACAGAGCATTAATTGTAACCCTTAATATGGATATTTAATTACAACAATTTCCGACAATTAACTATCAGGATTAACAATTAAACTTTTCAATTGTAATTGAGTTAATTTTTTTTTCACAATTTCTTTTATGGTTTGTTACACTTAAGGCGTTTTGATCAATGGTTAAATTTGATTGTTTTGTGTTAATTGTTTTGTCTGTTGTCCAAACAATTTATTTCATTCACACCTACAGTTACAAACAATCAAAATCAGCAATCTTAATCGTTAATCGTAATAAATTAACTACACTAACATTGATTATCTCAACCTTGAAATAATGTTACACATTGAGATACATTTAATTATAGTTAATGTAATAACTTTCATCAATGATTAAATGATAATCAGATGAACTTTTTTTTCCTCTTCTAAATTTGGTTTAAATTAAAGTTCAATTCACTTTCTTAAATTATATAATAATCTAAATTGTAATCAACAATCAACGATCAACCTTAACACTTCCTACGCTTTTTCATATAACCTCATCATTGAGTTTCTTACGAGAAACTTATCAATTGAAACTTTCACTTTTTTTCATGAAATTTTCTGATCATATCATTTAACCACTGAAAACTTATCAAATAATCAAAATTATTAATCAACTTAATCATGTACTTGTTGGTTAGTTAATCTACTTCACAATCAACCAGGAATAATGGTCAACAGGCCTCAACTTGAAGCTGTGTAATTATCAACTCTCAATAGTAAATAAATTAGCGATTAAATTGAATCAGGTGACACTTAATCACGATGATCAATATGATCTAAGCGAGTGTTATAATTAATGAAATGAGAAGATTAAACCTTATGAGTTTTTGCAATTTTTTCGTTAAATTTTTAATTGAGTTAATTTTTAGTATCTGATTGAGAGTCGATCGGGTGTTTATTGAACTGAATTGAAAGTTCAGTTCTAAAGGGAAAAAACCATGGGTGATTGCCTCTATTTCTGTATTATATTTACAATTTGTTGACACAATTCAAAATTATTTGATTTTAATTACAATTGAACATCAAATTTATTTGATTGTTTTGTATCGGACAAGAATCAACTTCAAGTAGTTTAAATGTCAAACTTTTGCGCGTTTTTTTTATTAGCGCGATTTTTGGTTTGAAGATTAAAATTTGTAACACAATCAAGTAAAATCACTTATTAATTAACGTTTATTTCAATGTTTAAAAGCTATTAAACTAGTACATAATTTGAAATTCATTGATTTTGATTTTGTTTCTCGTTAATTTGTCTCAATTTCTCAGCTTTTTGGTTAAGCATTTCCAATTTTTCGGCCATTTCCTGTTCCCGTTTGATGCTAATCTCGCGAGTTCGAGCAATTTCAGCCTCAAGTTCAGCAAATTTCTTCTGCTTTTCCGATTCATTGGCATCCATCTTATCACCCAAAGCCATTAACTGTTAAATCCGAGAAAAAAACAGTGGTAATAATTAACTTAATAAATAAATAATCGGTCTAATTATCATCACCTCTTTTTGAGCCTTTTTTAGACTCTCTGATTTAGCTTCAAGCATTTTAACTGCATCGTTCAATGTAACGGTTTGCGATTGAATCTGTAAATAGTTCACAAAATAATTAATCATATATTAAACTAGAACAATCAACTTTGTAATATTTACAATTTCCAATCTACTTGATTTACTCTCAATCTCTTCCAATGCCTTAAGCTGAGTTTCCTTTGCTTCGGCAAGTTTCCGTTCCATGATCGCCAATCGATCTCGCAACGATTGAGCTTGATTAGTAGCCTACAAAATAATCACAACAATTAAACCTTAATTATTACAATTCAAGCAAATAACAATCAATTTCTTACATTGGTAACTCGTTCATGAGCCATTCGAGCTTCATCTTCAGCTTGTTTCAATCGTTCATCAGCCTCTTGCTTTTCTTGAGCTATTTTTTGAAGAGATTTTTCCATAGTATCTTTCATTGTAAATTTCTAATCATCAAAGAATCAAAACAATCAAATTAAAACGGACAATCAAAGGCAGATCAGTAAAGAACATGGTTAATCATTCACTTACCTTGTATTCAAGTTTAACTTCGATGAAACAATTAACTTTTCCAATCAAATTGAACAAAATCACAATATAAACCTAAGAACCTTTTAAATGTCTGATCACAAGTCTAATTGTTGAACATGAACCAAAATAGATTCACTTTGAGTCTTTTTCTGGATCTCATCCCAATTAGTTGATTCTTATGATTTCCTTTGCTCGTTTACTGTCTTTCTCATTGAATCTTCATTCCAATATATCAAAGAATCCGGAAAATAAACAAAAGGTAGAATGTTTTTTTCTCTTTTTAATCAACAATTAATTCTTGTTACTTTCGATTTTTGATTTTCCATTTGAAACTTTTTTTTTCTCACGAATTTCATTCCATTTATTATCTCCTCGAATTTCCCATAAATGAAAGTAAACAAAACTATTTTCACTTTTAATTCAATTGATTCATCTAAGATGATTGACTTTATATTATTGGAATTAATTGTAACAATGAGATCAACATGTAATTAACTTTAGTTTTAGATTTTGATTGAGCGAAAATTTAAATTAACCGCTTTTCGATTTTTTCTTTGAACTTATCCCATTAGATGGCGTTAATTACTCTACAAATTGTTCACATTTATTTCAATTTTTAGTTTACTAATTAAATTGCTCTAATTTTTGTTATCAATTTTTAGCTTTAATTATAACAATTTATGATTAGTCTGATAGCCATTGTATTGAAGTACCACCTTCGTTACAACATAATTGTGATTACATCAAAAAGACGTTAATTGGATGACATCGCTTAAAATAGTCCAATCATCTCAATTAACTAATTAATTTCTTTTATTTATTTTGATGTTTACATATGAAATCATAGATATTATCCTACCTGGTCCGGAATACAGAAATTACCAGCACTTCAAAGTGTTCCAACTACTCCGAATAACAAATAAGAGATGAAAATCGTTCGCAAAACGTGCAAAAGGACCTGAAATCATTCATAATCGTCTTCTTTATAATCAATATGGTTTAATGGTAAGATAATTAGACCATAGAAAAATGAGATCAATTTATCGTTTACAGAAATTAATTTGTATTTCTTTTATCGATTGTCTTCAGGCTTTTATTTGGTGGTCATTTGTCCCAATCAAACCTCTTCTACCAAGATGAAAACCGAATCGTTAAGATGGGAGATTAATCAGTTTCCACTTCTGAATTTTCTCTATGTTGGAAATGAAATGTGTTTAAATTATGGATAAAAACTTACGAGGAATTAGAACTAATTTAGTCCATCTAAAGGGATTAATTTTGTCCATCAGATCATCGACAATTCAGTTTAAAGAACATTCAAATTTCTACAAAAAGAACAAAAATTTTGCTTATTTGTTCCAACAAGAGATGGCCCTTCATTCTGATGTTTACTTTTTCAAGTCTAAAGTTTTTCGATTGATCAACTTTTTTAAATTAACCAATTTACTAATATTTATACACTTATTTTCAATCGATTGATTGTTTATCTAAGCTGATTAACTCAGGTTTATTCTGTTTACACTTGACTCTTTTCCCCATCATCAAAGTAAGTAACTCAAACATTCAACTGATCGATCAATTTTTCCTCTAGAAAATTTTATCCATATTTACATGTAATTTTTTTCGATTTTTAATTCTATTTGTCGTTTTTTCCTCAGGTTTCTTACAACATTTTTGATTAAGATGGATATTCCGGTTGACAGGATTCCTCGAGATCTACGTAATCTTCGTGCTTGCCTTCTGTGTTCTCTGGTTAAAACATTCGAACAGTTTGAAGTTGATGGATGTGATAATTGTGAATTTGTTCTTGGTATTCGAGGTAATCGAGACATGATCTTCGACTGTACTTCATCCAATTTCGATGGAATCATTGGTTTAACCCAACCAGATGAAAGTTGGTCGGCTAAATGGCTGCGAATACCCAATTTTAAGCCCGGAATTTACGCCATCAGTGTTTCTGGGAAATTACCACCAACCATTTATAGGGAACTTAAATCACGAAACATTCCCTACAAGTCGAGAGATCGAGCAGCCTAAAAGTACAATAACCGATAATCGATAAGTGATGGTTTAAGAAGAGAAAATGATCTGCACCCTGATTATCATCAATATCATCGATTTTTCCAGTGATTTTTTTCTATTTAATCTTAATGTATTTAGAATGTTTCATCGACACTTTCATCTTTAATCTGCCATCATGCAAAAGATGATCAAGAAGAAGAACCAAAAATCTGATCTCAGTCACGATCCTCAAAAGTCACGTCAAAATAATAGTAAAAAAAACTGATTTTAATTTAATTCCTTGGGAGTAGAAAACACAATCTAAGGTTATCTGATTTTCATATGTAAGTAATTCACATTTTGTCAACTAAATCATTTTCTTGTGTAACAAAATCATCCAAACAAACTGAAAACAATCATAATATCATATAAGTTATACAATAAATCACTTTCCCATTAACAACAGAACGAAAAGCAAATTGTAAACAACTTACAATTCTTATTGATATAATGTTAACCTTTAACCTTTTTCCTCCAAGAGAATTTCAATTCTGATCTTTGATTCGTATTCTGATTAGAACTGAGTTTTCAGAATATATGAATTTTAATCATTCAAGTTCTTTGTATTATTTTCTTTTTCTTTTGTAATATTATTTAATTTATTTCTTTATTCGGTTTACAATGTTCATTTGTCTAGAAGAGATTAAGATTACATATAAATAAGAATCAGTTGATAATTTTTTACATTAGGGAATATCGATTGATGATGAAAAGTTTTCTCATCTTTATCTCTAACTGAATCAGGGATTTACCGTTATTACTGATAAGATGAATTAATTTGTGAGAGATTGGGTGGAAATTCAGAGACGATTGTATTTCTCCGAGAATCTTTGATTATAATTGAAGGATCGTACATGGTTTGTGTCACTTCATCACCATTAAGATCATCTTCGATCGCTTGCTCTTCCGTCTTGAAGGTTGGATCCCATTTCTGTAGCTTAGACGAACCCAAAAGGGCAAAATAGTGAGTACCAAATATACACAGTCCAGCGGTGACTAGGAAAAAGTTTGACCAGGATTCGAGCGACGGTTCATCGCCGACAATTGTAGCAGCCGCTTGGTTCATAATGACCGAAGCAATATTTTGTGAGGTCTCCATAAGACCAACCAACGAACCAGCATAAGTCGGGGAAATGTCCAAATGCATAATGTAACAACCAGCGACCTGAGAGACACTGATCGCTTTCGATGCGACAATAAATGCTATAATTAATCCAGTTCGTCTCCCAACATAAGTAGCACAAACTAACAATAGCGATGAACCAATGAAACCTTAATTGTTGAATTCGCAGGGGAAAAGTGAAAATTAAGATTCTCGCAAAACAAAATCACTGATTTGAATGAAAATTTGTTAATCAAGAGTTAATTCAATAGAATAGATAAATTTGCTTCTCTAATAAATCATCACAATTAAGCTTTCATAGTAATTTTGGTTTTTATTACTTTAATTTTCCATGATATATTCTCATATTAACTCCATCTCATTGAAATAATCAAATGAACAGAATTCAAGTTAATTTTCTGAATAATTTGTTAATATAATTGAAGAAAAAATTTTTCTGAGAAGTTGAGGAAATAAATTTTGATTCAGTTAGATAATTAACATGATCAAGTTGATTATTAGTAAATATGATATATCAAGGATTTATAATCTCTCTGATAGATTATATGAATAAAGTCATTGATTTCTGTGAAACAAGATTACTAATTAATCTTCAACCAAATAATTATCTCAAATTGATTAAACAATAACACGATGAAAGTGAAAATGATTAACTTGTATCTGGGAACAACAACTGAATTAGATTAAAATTAACCTTAAAACAAATTTACTTGAATCGCACTAACAATTTATATTGATAATAAACATACAATTTAATATCTAACTGTTGTCTTTATTTATTTAGTCAATGGCTTAATCCATAAGCCTAGATTGAGCTAAATTGTGATAATTAATATAAATAAAGCCTCTAACTATTAATAGTAATACATCTCGATAGTAAAAGTAAATGTTTAATTGAAAAGGATGTATAACCAATCAGATTAGAAAGAAGGAGAGAAATTGAAACTTTATCAATTAATAATAATAGATGATGATTAACTATTAAATCCTTGTGTTAATTGTTGAGTTATAAATATAACTACAATAGTAAATGCATTTCTATTGTCGAGATAAACTGTTCTAACCTGTGGGGATTGATGTTGAGGCTTTTTGTTTTAATTACAATATTTAGAAAACTTCTTGTGTCTATTTCGTGAAAATCTTGATTATGATTTTTCATTAGTTCATGAAGACTCGTGTGAAATTTTATTCATCTTGACCGAGCAATTTGACCACAAATTATCAAAATATGAGAATCCACTGACAAGATATTAATAAAATATCGAAAAAAAAAATATTTTGAACAATTTTAATTTCAGGTCAATATATTATCGCCACTATTGGCCTTAATGATGTGAAATTTGCAGGCAACGGTCTCACATGTGTTAACTATCAGAAAATGAAATTTGACAGGAAAATTCAGTGCAGTTTAATTTTTATGAAGGTTTGACCAAAAAGTCTCATAATTTATCCCCTCAGGTTATTAGAATTAAATAAAGTGAGATTACTTACCAATGTCGGCGAAAAATTTTCGTAGAGCTGAAGTTGAGTATTTTCCCTGCGATCGCAATTTATCCGAAGTCCAACTGATTAAATTAGAACTGAATATGGAAACGATATAAGGTAAAGCTGATACAAGACCATTCTAAGTGTGTAACAATTTAAGAGGCTCATTGTAGCAATCTGGCTAATTAATGGTCAGTTAGTATACTACCTTTTCAATGGGCAAGTCAAGAACTGTATGAATGAAGGAAGGAATCAAACCCGAAATCGATTCGAACCAACCGAAAGCGAAATTGGACAATATAAGAGCCCAAACAGGAGCCGATGCAAGGACATGTCGCCATGGTAAGGACACACTCTGAATGGAAAGAAATAAACATCAATCGAATAATTAAGGAAAAGGTTGACAAATGCTAATTGCCTAATTAAATCTAAAGCTCTTTTTAATTAGTGGCTTGATAACTTATTCTCGTCATTATTTTAATCTCATCCATTTTCGTGGCGATCTGAGGTTAAATCTTGATCAAAATCAACTGGTACTAAATCAACTGAGTGACAAATTTTGTCGCCCACTATATCTAATAGCTAATTAACTAAAATTTTGGCTAATAGTTAAGCTCAGGGAATCTATCCTACTGTGATATTGAATGTGGAATTGATTAATTTTAGAACTCACAGAGTCTTCAGCACTTGATGATCGATTCTCAATGATCTCTTTCCTTTCGGCATCAGAGATAAATGGGTGACTTTCAGGATCATCATGGACGAAGAATAGCCAAAAGAAAGCAGCGCACAGTTGAACAATACCGAAGATATAAAAGACTGCAGGCCAACCACCGAGAAAGTCGGAGGAAGAAAGTAAACCGACCAACGGGTGAGTAATGACATTGGCTAAAAGTCCCCCTGAACCCATGATGGAAGCGAAAAGTGTTTTCTCATATTTAGGTGCCCATCGAGAGACCAAAACGTGACCACAAGGAGCCGCACAACCGACACAAATACCATGAATAATACGAATCGCAAAAGCTGCTTGAAAAGACCACTGAGCGGCAAATGGAAACATTAACATTGTAACACCAGCAATAACGGCTAACACGAATGTCACTTTTCGAGGACCAAATTTTTCACTTATCCGACCTGCAGGAATAGGTGATAAAACAGCACCAATAAAGGTCGCTTCTAACAATTGATCGTTAGTTGAATGAGTCCAATTGATGTAATGTTTATTTCGTTGTACTTGTATAGTCGGCGGGTCAGAACCTTCCGGTAATTTGGTCCCATTAGTCAATTCAACTGGTACATCCTCGTAGTTAGGATCGGTCATTGCGACAATGGACAATGAAAGTGACGCTTTTGTCGAAACCAAACTAAAGATCATCACTAAAGTGATCACACAGATCGCCCATCGAACCTTAAAACAACCCGCTTTGGACTGTCCATAATCATCGTCATCACCTTTCGTATAACCCATTTGATCAATTCAACTAATTAGTAAACTTCACAATTAACTTTCTATTGAAAAATTTCTTAATTTAATTAGCTGTCTCTCTACCATCGATATGAAATCAATAATTCCTAACAAATTCCTCGGTGGTTTATCTACTCGTTCCTGTAGTAATCAGTTAATTGATCTGCTGGTATTTAGGATTAACTTGAATGTTACAGATCCGGTGATTGAAGATTTAGATAATTATCATCGTCATCAAATTCACATTGATTGGTGTTTTGTCTTATACAATTTGTTAATCAATATATCGAGTCAATTTCATCAATAATAATTTACAAAATAAACGGAATACATTAAATATCAAGTTGACAAACCTTGACAATTAACAGAGATTATTAATCCCTCAACATTGATGGTGGGTTAATCAAAATATCAGAGAATCTGTGATAAATTAATCTCATCAACTGATATAATGTTTGTTTTTAATTGTAGCAGTTAAAGTCAAGGGTTAGCTGTCTTTACCTATTGAATTGATTGTAACAAAATCAAATCAGATAATTAATGATATTGAGCAACATTAACAATCAATGAACAAAAATAGTAAATGATAAACAATTACCAAAGATTAATTCTTATCGATAGATTAATTTTTTTGTCCTCATTTAATTAAATCATTAAATTTATCGATTTCTATTGGTTTAAATGATTCTGATTTCACTTAATCTTTTCAGTGATTCAGAACTTTTTCTCGTTTCATCATCGTTAAACATTTTAATATGGAAATTGTTTATTATCTTTTGATTGTTTCTAGTTAAATTAATCACACAATTAAATGATCAAGTTTCAAATGTACTTTGAGATAAATTAACAATCAATTTCTCATCATCATCATCATCATCATCATGAATTCATCAAAACAATTTGGACCAAAGGATTTGATGAGTTAAGTCCGAAAATAGGTAAGCTTAACCATGTAACTAATAAATTAGTAAATTAGTTGAACAATTAAAGTGAACCTATGCTGATTTGTGAATTAATTTCGAGATAATTATGACTCTTCAATTCGAGAATTTGATTGAAGATTCAACACGGTTTCGAACATGAGAAAAAAATCTGAGTTCGAAAAAATTTATCTCTTTGGATTATCTCACAAAATCTTCGGTTATTCTTGGAATCGGTGAAAATTTATTACGATAAACTTTCCGTTCCAATAATGTTCTGATAATTGTTAAATGACTGAAGTTTGGAAAAGAATGAGTCTGAGTTACGATATTAATCTGCGTTGTTTAGAATTAGTTTATTGAATAAGATGAATTAATTAGTAAATGGATGAAATGTATATCTAAGAGTAACTTGCTCAATGAATAAAATCCCATGAAGCTTTGTTGATTATCTAGATAAGATTAACTTTTATCTCCGTGAGGATTAGATTTATGAAATAAAAGCAATTTGTTTACAAGATTGTCACTAATAAGATGAATTAAGTTGTGAAAGATTGGGTGGGAATTGCATTGATACGATTGTATTTCTCCGAGAATCTTTGATTATAATTGAAGGATCGTACATGGTTTGTGTCACTTCATCACCATTAAGATCATCTTCGATCGCTTGTTCTTCCGTCTTGAAGGTTGGATCCCATTTCTGTAGCTTAGATGAACCCAAAAGGGCAAAATAGTGAGTACCAAATATACTTAATCCAGCAGTTATTAAGAAAAAGTTTGACCAGGATTCGAGCGTCGGTTCATCACCGACAATCAGTGCAGCCGCTTGGTTCATAATAACCGAAGCAATATTTTGTGAGGTCTCCATAAGACCAACCAACGAACCAGCATAAGTCGGGGAAATGTCCAAATGCATAATGTAACAACCAGCGACCTGAGAGACACCGATAGCCTTTGATGCGACAACAAACGCTACAACTAATCCAGTTCGTCTACCAACATAAGTAGCACCGACCAACAGCAAAGATGAACCAATGAAACCTTTGAATTTAAATTGTTCAAATGAAATAATCTCTTCTTAAATCAGTCCCGAACTTTTATTCATCAGTTCACAAACGATAACTGTTCAGTATTCGTGATTGAATAAAAATCGTTCAGAGCAAAATATCAATTGCAAATGTTAAATTCACAAATAATCAAAAGGATGAGAATCCAATTGTTGTCTTAGTTATAATCCTAATGATTAGTTCTGATACTTGTAAATTGGATATTACTAATAATAATCTAATACAGTGTTTCCCGATTGAAGAAACCAAACTTTCAAATGAGAAAACCTTTTTTTCAATTGAAGAAACCAAAAATAAAAATTCGCTTCTAGTTTTCATTTGAAGAAACCAAACCACCAAATGAAGAAACCAAGTTTTCATTTGAAGAAACCAAACCACCAAATGAAGAAACCAAGTTTTCATTTGAAGAAACCAAAACGATTTTTAATTGTGATTAATTAATTAATTCTGAGTCGAAATTAAATTTAAATCACATGTATGATGATTTTGAATATGAAACTTCATTTCTAGACCGATTTTCGCTCTAAAATTAATAATTAAAAAATTTTCATTTGAAGAAACCCCAATGGTTTAACTCGTTACCGATTGAGATCAATGATACGAGATTTCGGACCTTCATTTTTTAATTATTAATTTTAGAGCGAAAATCGGTCTAGAAATGAAGTTTCATATTCAAAATCATCATACATGTGATTTAAATTTAATTTCGACTCAGAATTAATTAATTAATCACAATTAAAAATCGTTTTGGTTTCTTCAAATGAAAACTTGGTTTCTTCATTTGGTGGTTTGGTTTCTTCAAATGAAAACTAGAAGCGAATTTTTTGGTTTCAATTGTTTCTATTTGAAAGTTTGGTTTCTTCAATCGGGAAACACTGTATCAATTTAGTTATGAAAAAATATCTCTAAGGATTAGATGAATATTGTTATTGTACTAAATTGTTATTCCATTTAATTGCTAACCGAATGAAAATCAAGTGTAATAATTACTTACCAATGTCGGCGAAAAATTTTCGTAGAGCTGAAGTTGAGTATTTTCCCTGCGATCGCAATTTATCCGAAGTCCAACTGATTAAATTAGAACTGAATATGGAAACGATATAAGGTAAAGCTGATACAAGACCATTCTAAAAGGAATAATAAGAATAATTATCAAGATGTTAATTGTTAACTCAATGTTCTCTAATTAAAACCATTACCTGTTCAATTGGCAGGTCAAGAACTGTTTTAAAAAACGAAGGTATCAATCCCGAAATGATGGACTCCAACCAGCCCCAGGCAAAATTAGACAATATAAGAGCCCAAACAGGAGCTGAGGTCAGAACATATCTCCATGGTAAAGATACATTCTGAATGAAAATTAAGAAATAAATATCACCGGTTCAATGATTAGCGGAAAAGATTTACAAATGAATAACGAAAATGACACAATATAATCAGCTGATTCAATTAAAACTCTTTTTAATCATTGACTTGATTTCATTTTCTCACATTATGTTTATCACATTTTCCTTTTGTAGCTCAATTGTCTTAAAGTCTATTTACATTTTCTCAACTCTTTGCACAAATTAACTTGATTACTTTAATCAATCTTGTTAAGTGTATTGTTTTTCACTTCTATTAATAGTTGATTGAGACCTCTAATTGTCTTTATGAGTCTCAAAGGTAATTAATGAAAGAAATCGTTAGTCGAAGACTTGGTGAACTCTTTTGGTAAGAAATAATTACCGTTACTTTTTTTCTACTTGAATGATAGCGAACATTGGTACTTACTGAGTCTTCCGAGCTTGATGATCGATTCTCAATGATCTCTTTCCTTTCGGCATCAGAGATAAATGGGTGACTTTCAGGGTCATCATGGACGAAGAATAGCCAAAAGAAAGCAGTGACTAGTTGGATAATACCGAAGATATAAAAGACTGCAGGCCAACCACCGAGAAAGTCGGAGGAAGAAAGTAAACCGACCAACGGGTGAGTAATGACATTGGCTAAAAGTCCACCGGAGTTCATTATTGAGACAAAAAGTGTTTTCTCATATTTAGGTGCCCATCGAGAGACCAAAACATGGGCACAAGGAGCCGCACAACCGACACAAATACCATGAATAATACGAATCGCAAAAGCAGCCTGAAAAGACCACTGAGCTGCGATGGGGAAAAGTAACATTGTGACACCAGCTAATAACGCCAAGATAAAAGCCACTTTTCGAGGACCAAATTTTTCACTTATCCGACCTGCAGGAATAGGTGATAAAACAGCACCAATAAAGGTCGCTTCTAACAATTGATCGTTAGTTGAATGAGTCCAATTGATGTAATGTTTATTTCGTTGTACTTGTATAGTCGGCGGGTCAGATCCTTCTGGTAATTTGGTCCCATTAGTCAATTCAATTGGTACATCCTCGTAGTTTGGATCGGTCATCGCGACAATGGACAATGAAAGTGACGCTTTTGTCGAAATCAAACTGAAGATCATCACTAAAGTGATCACACAGATCGCCCATCGAACCTTAAAACAACCCGCTTTGGACTGTCCATAATCATCGTCATCACCTTTCGTATAACCCATTCAGTATTTAGATTCAAAAATCAGTCAACACTCACAAAGCAATTATAACAATCAAACTAATAATATTTTAGATTATTAAATTTTTTTCCCAATTTCGACCGTTTCAGTTTTGTCACTGACTCTTCATCAAGTGTCAGTTTAATATTAATTGTCAACTCATTATCAGGCCTCACTACTTTATCTACTCACTCAGGTATTAATTAATCACCTAATTGAACCCTGCAACTGCCTGACTATTAGAAAAGGATTAGCTCAGGTTAATCGTTTCGATTACGAATTGAAATCTCTCCTTAAATCCATTAATTAAGATTTAGATAGTCTCTGGTTAATCTAATCATCGTTAATTGATTCCAAGGTGGTCTTGATTGTCTCCATTAAGGAAGATGATCCAATTTCAATCATTAGTATTTCCTTTAAAACAAAACAAAAGTTTAATTACTGATCAAAATTTTACGAAAAATTGATTGATTATTATTGTGAATAGTAATCTAATCAATAATTAAGTCAAAAGGAAAAGATCAATCAGATAAATAATCATGTCAACGATAATCTAAGGCCTATCAACGTAATTAATTGTTTAATTGTAAATCAAATGCTAATCGTTGACTAATCTTATTCTGTTGATTGAAAATCTTTGAATAATCAAAAATGATTCATTTTCATGGTTAACTCATTGCGGAATATTTTTCAATGTTAAATAATATTCAAAGTTTAATCACTGAGCGCATGAAAAAAATGGCGACACAATTAACTGACTAGAATTAATTTTTATCAATGGATTACTTTGTTATCCTCTTTTTTTATTTATCTAACATGAAATTTGTTGCTTTCCATGATTGTTACATGATTCTGATTCACTGAACCTTTTATTAATTCAGAAACTTTTCTTGTTGGTTCCATCATGATTATTATCTCTTTCATGATTCTGATTCTTAGCATTGCTGATAAACATCATCATTATTATTAATATAACAATCAAGTTGAGTTTGCTTGTTGCACTAAATTGTAATTTAATCAATAGGACGCATGTTTCAATCTCTCTGATTATTACTGCATCAGAATAAGAATCAGAATCAGAATCAACATCTACAGTTGAGAATCTCCTGAAATTTTTACAATAGTAACAATAATAAGTTTACTTTTTCTGATGAAAAATTTGCAAATCTAATTGTTAATCATGTTAATCAACAATCAATTACCAGATTACAATTATCTAAAGTGAAAAAAATCAACTCCAATAATCTAATCTAATATCACCATAGGTAACATGGTTATTATTTTCATCAGTTTTTAATGTAAATTCAAATCAAACTGTTAATTGTTCAATTTAACAATCATCATCATGCCATTGAATACTTATCATAAGTTTCCAGTGTATGGCCCAGAAAAAATTAACAATCAATTGATTCAATCATCACCATTACCATCAATTAATCACAGTAATTTAACACTCGTATCTAAACTGGGTAAGTCTAAATGAAGTGGATTAAATTAACAATCAAAGTGAAAAGTACAAAATAATTTAAAATTATCAATTATGTTTACTGAACGTTTTGATCAAAAACCCAATCTAGTTAACTAATTGTTCACTTCCTGATTGATTATCAATAATAATAACAGAATTACATGAATTTGATTCTGATTCTGATTCTGACTCTGATTATCAGGAAGTAAATTGTTACGATTACAATAATTTCATTTCCATGTTAATCCAAAAATATAATAAACTAAATCCCTTATGAGGTTAACTAATCTGTTGAATATTGTTCAGGAATTGATTCATGGTTTTCATTTACATGATCAAATCAACAGTCAAAGATTATTACTCAGTTTGAGATTTGAATAGATTTTCAATCATGATGATAATTGAATTGAATCTGAATAAAACTGAGCTGAGAATTAGATTGAACTGAATGCAGTCAATCAGGAATAACACAATAAAGAATCTGAGAAATGTGAATATTTTTTTTCACCAAATCTTTTCAGTTGAACTTTTAATTAATTTCTGACTACGAATTCTGATTAAAATCACTTGGATTTCATGATAACTGAAAAGACTGAATATTATTATCCAATCATCTTTATCTTAATGAGAGAAATTGTTACATGTATTTGATCACGTTGGTTATTGATTGATTACTCATAACTGGATTTAGTTTCTCCTCTAATACTATCATAGTATTAAAATAATCTGTGGACTTGATTTGTTCAAGAATCCAGTTGATTGTGATAATTTTTTCATCAATTTAATGTAAATATTGTGTTTATTTACTTATTACATGGTGGAAAATGTTGATCTGAAACTTTTTCCTCTCATGAAAATCTCATCTGCTCTTGAATTGAATCAGAATCTAATCAAGATAAATATTTGATTCATGTTCATATTTCAGTTAACTGAATTTACAAGATGTTGATTCAGAAATTCAGATTCTCAGTCTCTTGAAAATAATATCATTATTTTTACCTTGAAAACAACTCACCGGGAATTCAATGTAAATATAATGAGGAAAACAGTTATTATTAAATTTCCTGTGACAATTTGAGATCATTAATTATAATTAGCTAACTGAATTATCGTTAGTGATTCAAGTTGATTGCAATTTCTTAAATGCTGATAGTTTTAATTGGAAGAGTGAAAAAACAATTGTGTCAAAATTTTAGCTCCTTTTAGTGTCTAACATTTGATAGATTTGTTCATAATGATAACCAATTAATTAACTAATTTTAAGGTTTATAATTGATTAGACACAAGTGATTAAATGAGTAATCATTTCCATGAAAAATATTATTAATATAATCACAATTTAATCTTTGAAACTCACAATTAATGACCAACCACAGTTAGTTAGCTGAAATGGTTGATACAAAAAGTTGTAAGTTTATCTTAACAATTAAGGTCACAATAACAAGAGCAACAATTAGAAGTGTGATTAGTTAATCAAATTAGTCTGAGGACAGTAAACTTTGATTGTTGTTCATTTAATCAGATTATTAATCAATAGTATTCAGTAGTTTGACCTTTAGTTATGATTGATAACGATTTCGTTCAATAGGAATCAGTTAATTAGATGATGAAAGAGAGAGAGAGGCTTAATTATCTCAATGATTAAGTTAATATAGAAGCATTAACTTCGTGATTAACTACAATTAAAGTTTTGTTTTTTTATTCAATTAATGCCAAGCAAAAAAATTTATTCTGACAAATTTTCATGGTTATCAGTTTGATTCTGATCATGAATACCATGAGTATCATGTTATGTGAATATCATCATGATTTTTATCAAGTTTTATCATGAGTTTTCACAATTGATGATCAGAATTAGAGAGATGAGGATATTAATCTTGATAATAATCGGGCGAAATGATTATTTGTGTATAGATTCACCATGAAATTATTTTCATGATGATTACAATTGAATTTTTTTCTCTCTATATCATAATTGATTCCGATTCCATTTTGTGAGGTATCATTTAATTTTTAATCATTAAGAACTCATGAAAGCCTCAGAATGCTAAGGATTATTATGAAAATGTTAGATTATCATGATGATTGTTTGAATATCTTGAATAATAATCATCAACATTGTAAATTGTTTCATTCAACAAGTAATCTAAATAATAAACTGAATTTAGGTTATTATTCAGATTAATCTCAATATTTATAAGAACTTTTTTTTTCAAATTTCTAATTCAAATCAATTGGTGTCATCTGTATAATCACCATGAAATTTAGTGAATTTTTTACCTCCATGAATCTGATTCTAACATTAGCTGGAAGTGTCAAAGTTCAAGATTGAATTTAGTGCTACAAATCAAACCAAATTTCATTATTTATATCAAATTGTGATTGAGTTAAAGACTTAATTATATCAGGATTTAAATTATTACAAATATTAAGCTTAGTCTTTGATTGTCGTTTGAACTATTAAAATCATATGAATTCACTTGATTGTGTATTTGTCTCGTTAATCGTGTTTATGATAAATTGTTATCTGAAAAGCTTAATAAACATCATTCATTAATCAAATTGATTGTTGTTTGCAATTTAATTGAGTTTAATAAACAATATATTATCTGATTTTAATTTACAACACAGATAATTGTGATTTAGGCTCTAATAATAACAGCAAAAATCGTGTTGATAATAACTTTGCTTGAGCCAAATATTAATAATTTAATTGTTAACAATCAATAAGCAACTATTAATAAATCATTAACCATTTGACTTTTATCATACTCAAACAAATAGCAATAGCTAATATAAAACAAAGTATCATGATTAACAATTGAAACAATCAACTGTAGTGATCACAAATTATTTTGATTTCCCGTTAATTGTTCAAAGGGATTAATCAGAAAAATCAATCAGTTTAATTTATTTATTATTTGACCTTTATTTTTATCCATAGACAATCAACATGAATGAATAGATGTTCAAAATGTTGATGATGCTGATAATTGTTACAATTGACTGATCATAATTAACAAAGACAATAATCAACATCTTAATAATAACAATCAGAATAATTAATAGAAAATGGTTTTTGATCAATCAACTGCATCAATAATTTGTTCATGCTTACAATGTATTGATAAAAAGGATAAAAATCAACTGATTGTGTGGATGATTACAATTTTTAATTATTAAATAGATTGCCGCTCAGACCGAATTACAATTAACCAATTGTGAAAATGAACCAGAAAAACTTTAAAATCAAAATGAAATCATTTAAATTATACTGCCCTTTGAATAGTAACAGTTATCATCTTAATTACAACTGAATTAATATTAATAATCTGTATGTGATGTTTAGATAAATGTACTCAGGTTTAAATTGTTCATTTCTAACTATGGTAATGGTTAACATGATTATTGTTACTTTATGGTGAAAACTGTAGTTATAACTACAGTTTTAACCTTGATTGTAATTCAATTACAAGGTAAATGTTTGCTTCCATATAATGATGATTAAGTTTAAGATAAACTCATTGATCAACATGAATTTCAAGTGAAAGTACCGTTACTTTTCAATTTTTAATCAATTAACATTTAAAATGGAAACCAAACAATCACATCTTTGAGTGATTAAAATTAAGATCATCATGATAGTGAATCCATTTAATTGATAATCTAATACTCACCTCAATGATGAGTAACAATCAACTTACATTAAACTTTTCTTCTTGTGATCATAATTAACTAAATCATCACAATTCAATGAGTTATTAAATGTATTGATCAAATTGGTCATTTTGTGATGAAATCCATTAATCAAACCAAATGATAATCAACTGAAAGGGATTTTACTTATATAGAGGAAGAAAATTCTAAATTTCTAATTACAATTAGTAAATGAGGATTCGGTGTATTTATATATCATTAGAGTAACAATGAGGATATTTAATTGTTTACATTGAGTCTTTTCTCAAGAATCTAAATCTAAATTATCTGAATGAAAATAAGATGATTAAGATGAATTCACGTTTCCATTGGTTGTTGAGTAATCAAAAAATTAGTTGTGATCAACAATTAAGGTGAAATTACATTGACTGTTGCGTAAATAAATAGGATTTAATTCAAATACAGAAATCATCAATTACTTTTATCTAATAAACAATTAAGAGATTGTAAATATAAATGAAGACGGTTGAGAATCAATTTTACTATTTGTATTGTGCTTGATTACCTTTGTATTATCATCTTTATATTAATATGATATTTCAAATGATCATCATGAGTAAATATTAATTACTAATGAAAATGACATCTCTTGATTGCTTTTTTGCGTATTGTCATTCAATGAAAGGATCATTCAAATATGACTACGATTAACTTAATCAACAAATAATAGAAATTAATTCTTGATCAACTCAACTTCAACGCTAACTTTAGTACTAATCAATCCAAGAAATTAACTCTAAGCAATACAATTAATCAAACTCAAGTAATTTAAAAACATCTCAATAGTAAATATTGATTAAATTAGTTACATTTATTGATCAAGTTTTGCTTTGGTCACTGTTTCCTTAATTGTCACCATCACTTTCTTGATAATAATCATGATGAGAAGTCATTTCGATAACTTGTCTTTTCAATTCAATTAAGTTAATTGTTTCCTTGTAATTAAAAAACCAAATCATTTAGTAACTTTTCCTTGTCTTTGAATTTAGTTAATCCAAAAATTTTATCGTTTTGTCACTTGATACAAATTTTGACATTTTCTTGATCCCAATGGTCTAATAAATCACTGCAATGTTATCCAGTGAATATCCTAATATTATAAAAGCAAGAAAAATAAGATTATAGTCTAATAGAAGTGAAAATTAGTCGAAACCTTTACGATAATCAAATTAGGAGAGAAAAGGATTGAAGAAATGATTAAATGTGATTAGTATTGTTATCATGTGAAAACAATTTAAATGGAAATAAGTTAAATTGAAAACATTGAACTTAATTTGTTTCTAATATTTGTGATTTTGTTAATTTTCCAGGAGCAAGTCATCTAATTTACATTGGAATTGCATCAGGTTGTACGTTAATTGTTCTAATTGTTTGTTATATAATTAAATCGGTTCACAATAAACGTAAAAAATGTTACGATGCAATCGATGAGACAACACGGACAATCATCTCGATGCCTCAAGCACGAAGAGAATCAAATAAATCTTTCCAAGGTGTTTGTGTTTAGTAAGTTGATTGTGATTATCAAATCATTTTTTCCAAATGATTAACCAATTGTCCTTTATTTTAAAGTCAAAATCAACCAATTGATTTCATCCTCCCTGGAATATCAACTCATCTTCAACCAGCACCAACTCCAAGTAGATTAAAATCACCTTCTCATCATTGTTCAGAGACACAACTACAATGTTCTAATGATCAAAGCTTAATTGCTGATTTATCAAGATCTGAATCTCTTGAATCGTTGATCATCACAAAATCTGGTGGTTCGGAAGTTGTTGAAAGTGGATCGAGTAAACTTGGTGGTGACAATCAACTGGAAAGACCAAGATCCTCTTTGTTGGGTGGATTAAATCCTGAACTTTATCGTATCGGTGGAGTTGATCTTGAAGGTGAAGATGACGATTTCCGATAATCATAGAGGTAGAATTTGGTTCAAAGTTAATTACGAGGAAAAGAATGAGCAACTTACCATCAGTTTACTGAAGATCAAAAATTTACCCTCAAGGGTAAAAGGATCAGTAAATTGTTCCGACCCATTTGTCAGGTTAGTATAACTCAAATAAAGTTGATTGATTTAAATATATTAATACAATATTAACCATGGTAGAGTAAATAAATCTACGATAATCAAATATTATTGAACCAGAATATAATACTGATTTAATCAGCATTCCATTTACACCCAAATCAGTCTGGATTCATGGGTATTCATTTTATCAAATATCAAAAAGCCAATGAGCACATAATCATGATAATCTCTGCAACATTTTCCTCGTCATCATAATAATAGTTTGAGATCTTCTTCCTGCCTTTTCAATGTAAAGATATTGCTGATTCTCAGGGAGTTAATCATGTTGACGAAATAATTGAAATAGGTACACATAAATACGCAAGTATGAGAGAGTAACATGTCGAACATCCAATTACTAACCAATTGTAAGATCCTAAGAATAGAAAAATAGAGAAAAAGAGAAAATAAAAAAAGAATTAGTCTTTGGAGAGAAGAACAATAAGTTAGTTCTTGATAACATTTTCGACAGAGATGATGACAACTCTTCCCATGGAACATTTTAGATGACAGATTAAAACGAACCTTAGAACAACTTCTTCGATTCTTGTTTTTTTTCTCTTCTTCTTGATCTAACATGAAATCGAAAAAAACATTAGAACTTTTTCTATTCTTATCATTATATCAATTCGATCACGTTGACTTGAGATTTGTTACCATTTCTTTACTCCCAGCTAATCACTTTATTCCTCAGCAAGAATCCAAATTCTTTGAAATTTATTTTGTATCTTCATTTGGATTCTGTTATTTTTTGTTTCTCCTTATAAACGATAATCATTTACCCATTGATAATGATGATGATTAACACTCATGATTGGACATATTTCTCATTTCATGGTTGCCAGAATTTACCTTTTGCCCGATGGAAGGCGATATGTTCAATCTAAAGTTAAAAAGAAGACCTGTAATCCGAAATTCGATGAAAATTTTGTATTCCAGGTAAGTAAAAGTATCCACTGGACACCCACAAATCCACTAATCGAATCACTGACCTTTAAATGGACCAAAGTCCATAGACGATGTTTCATGATAATAGTAAATGTAGATAATTGTAGAAAAGAGATGAAAAAATAAAATGGAATAAGAATCGGCCAAACAATCAGATTAAAAAGTTCTTAGAAATGTCAAACATTTGGAATAGAAATTAATTGTTGGCTTATCCATCGAAACGAAATCTTTAGATTCTATTAGATTAGTGAATCTATCTACAGTTTATCTCTACATGAAGACTGGAATAAAAAAGAGAAAAAAGAACAATTTTTCCAATTTTTCGATCAGAAAATTACTAATTCCAATAATCTCCATGTAGGGAAATTCTGATTCAGGTAAAAGTTAATATTTACATAATTGTTGAGGTGAATTACAGTTTACGTTTACCAGTGATTTCACTTCAGTGGTTTTAATTGTTAACTCTGGTCTTTGTTGAATCGATGAATGAACTGAATAGAGTCTGAAAGGAAAATAACATAATCATGTTAACGATATTGTAACTGAATATTGTTGAGTGTCTATCTAAACATGGAAAGAGTTGAGTTTTTGTTGAACACTGAAAGTTATTCAATTTAGTTTCAACAAATTTAATTTCACCTCCAGTAAATTCATCATAATTATCTAATGATTGTTGTTGATCCAATTTTTCCCAATCACGTTTACATCAATGGAACCAAACACTTATTCATCTTAATATAAATGCCAACAAATTGAATGTTTTCCGTTGTCATTTGAAAGTTAATCTGTCCATGGAAAAGTGTGATAGTTCAATTTATCTCGGTGAAAATAATCTAAAATAAACATGGTAGATAGAGCAGAAAATTGTGATATTAATTAGATAACCTTTAATCAAAATCTTCCAACAGAATCAAATGATTGAAAGTGATTAAGATGCACAATAAACAAACAGAAAACTTGATCATTTTGTTTACATTCAACATTATCAATGAAACACTTTTGCTGTTCGTAAATGTTTAGTTAATTGGTTCGATTTTCACAATTAACTAATCCACCAAGTCCATTAGACCAATAGAATCAACAAGAAATCACCATAATTAACCTTTGATTATGGTGATTTGGACAATTGATATTTGACGATTGATATTTCTGATTAAATTGTTCCCTCGGTGTATTGTTTTTTTTCTGTAACAATTTAGGTTCCAAATAAATCAGTTCAAGATAATTCACTTCGATTAACAGTATTGGACAACGATAGAGGAAAAAGACACAATGTAATTGGCCACGTTATCGTTAAGCTGAAAGATCTTGACTTCATTTCGTCTAATCCTCCACTTCTTTGGCGAGACTTGGAATTGGAACAAGATGAGGTAACAATTAGTTAACCAATTAATCAAATAATCACTTAATCACTTACCTGTATTTCTGTTTCTGTTAACTCAATTGCTTTAATAAGCCTCCATCTGAATCTGGTGAAATAAATGTGAGCCTTTGTTACAATCCGATGATTGAAAGATTAACCATAACCGTTTGTGAAGCCAAAGACTTGCGGTGGCCTGATGAAACACCTCTAGGTAATTAATTAACTAACTACCTGTTCATTTAACTTACCTTATTTGTTAAATTGTCACCAAGAGTTAACAATTTGAAAATGATTGTCATCAAAAACATTAGATGATTTCAATTGGACAAGAAAACACAAAGTGGAAAATTTAAAAGATTAGTTAATGTTTGTTACTTTCCAGTGGATTTAATATTCCCAATTACTTTAATTTAACTACTGTAATTAACTATTCCATGAATACTAATCTCTGTTCAGATGAGAAATGTCTAATTATTATGAATAATTAACTAAAAAAAAGAACAATTTAAATCTCTAACCTTTAAAATATTCTCTTACTTATAAACACAATAGGAACTGAAAGGGTTAATACGCTTTGAATTTCCTTCTATTAATTTTTTCTGTTCTTTTCTTTAATTTTTTGGAATAATTAATTTTAATTGTTCCAAAATGTTTATTATTTAAAGTGTCTTATTATCACAATTTACTATTTGTACTTTGTTCTTATTGAGAACAATTAACCAGTTATTTCATTCTGAATTTGTGATCAACCATTAGGACGATTGAGATTATCAAGTAATTGGTCTTGTTAATTGTTTTGTCTTTTTTTATTAATTAGAAACTTGTGTTAAGATTAGTCTATTTACCGGAAGTAAATTGGTTAAAGCTAAGAAAACATCAATGGCGAAGAGAAATTTCCAGCCCAATTACAATGAGTCCTTCCATTTTAAACTGAATCAAACATCGGTGGCGATTTCTCATGTTCTCATTCAAGTTAATCTCGTTCATGTTACAACTAAAGGTAAGACTGAATTTTTTGTTTTACTCTTGGAATCTCAATTCCATCTCTTTATTATTATCTTATTATTATTTTATTATTCTGATTCTGTGTTGTTATTTTTTCCATTTCTTATTCTTTTTCTTAGCTGATAAATGTCTGGGAAGAATCGTCCTTGGTTCTCACATGTTTGCTCGTGGCAAAGCCTTGGAACACTGGATAATAGCGACTACCACCACACCTCATAAACAAGTTCGACAATGGCACAAGTTAACCTGAACTTCATCTTAATTGCTTAATACAATTGACCATCAACAGAATATTTTAATCATAACAATCTAATGAGTCATCTCATGTAATAACTTTTCCATGTTTTCTGTTGGAACGATTTTTTCCCTTCTATTTTACATTATCATGATTCGTCGGAGCCTCTTTATGAATATTCAAATTTTCTGGAAGATTTTAATAGAAACCAATTGGAAACTATTAATAGTAATAATAAATAATCTTCATGAAAATTTCGCCACCAATCAAAATTGTCTTCTCATATTACCTTCAATCTAATTTAAATCTCATTCTCATTAACTTAATCATTATCAACATCATTTCCAATTTGATTTAACGTAACAGTTTGGATATTCAACCGCATTCAACTAATTAAACCATAAAATTGTTCACTGAAGAGATTTAATTTAGTCAAATGATTTAAATCATTCAAAGAAATTGACATTTTATCCTTACATGTACAATTAGATTTTGTATATTATTATTTTCACAAAAATGATATTTTAACGAGACAAACTCTGTGCAAGATTAATTATCTCTGTTGATTGTTAATTAATTGACCAATATCTTCATCACTTTGACTTCATATAGAAATTAAAAAGATATTTACAAACATACTGAATACTTAGATTACTGAAAAATTGACTATTCTAAAGGGTATGATTCAGTTTACTTTCCAGATTTTGATTCGGTGAAAATTTAAATAAACCGCTCATTGATTTTTTCTTAGCATTTACCCTCTTAGATGGCGTTGATTTCGCTACCATATGGTTTTGTTTAATTTCGGTTTTTTTATTTACTTTTTAAATTGTTACAATTTTGTTGATCAATTTTTGGTCTAATTGAGTTAGATTAATAAAGTATCATGGTTTTATCAATTTTTGGTAAGCAGATTACATCTGCATCGAAGATATGTGCAAATAGTAAGTGAAATAATTGACTCTCTTTTTTTCTGTTGCCTTTGTTTTTATCAGTTTGTTATTTATCAACTTTCATTGTCTTATCTAATTATTTTTCATTTTTTGAATTATTTATAGATCCTTGTCATCTTATTTTCACCAGGAATTCTGTTGGTTTGGCTCACAGTTTTTATAAAGGTCCCAAAAATCGCGTTGAAGTGCCACCTTCGTTTGATCGTAAGTTCATCATAATGACTTCCATTGAACGACATCGTTCAAAATAGTCCAATTATCTCAATTAACTAATTAATTTCTTTTATTTATTTTGGTGTTTACAAATGAAATTCTAGATATTATCCTACCTGATCCGGAATACAGAAAATTACCAGCACTTCAAAGTGTTCCAACTACTCCAAATAACAAAGATGAGATGAAAATCGCTCGCAGAGATTATGACGCAAAAGGACCTGAAACAATTCATAATCGTCTTCTTTATAATCAATATGGTTTAGTGGTAAGACAATTAGGCCATAGAAAAATTGATCAATTTATCGTTTACAGAAATTAACTTGTATTTCCATCATCAAATATTTTTAGGCTTTATCTGGTGGTCATTTATATCCAACCCATTTGAAGATAATTAGAGATTCGGTTAATCGTTATGTGTCAAAGGATAGATTTGCTGTTTGGAGAATCGAACCACCATGGAAAACAATCACTCGAAAGGTAACATATCTAAATATTTAATTTGATTCTTTTCTTGGCTTCTAAACTTCATCTTATTTTCACTCTAGTCACCTGGTAAAAAACTCGGAGGAGGTAAGGGTAGTGTCTTTTGCTATGCTACCCCAGTTCGAGCTGGTCGAGTTATCTTTGAATTTGGAGGAAAAGTCGAATTTGAAAATATTCTGAAAATGTTATTAGGTGTTGCAAGAAGATTACCTATTGATGCTTTACCTGTTTATTCAGAATTTTTCACCGAATTTCAAGAAGAAATGGCCGAAAGAGAAAAGAACAACCTGAATCCTTTGACCCTCGAACATGCAGTGAAAAATAATCTAGCCGATTGTAGGAAATACATGACAGCTTATGAATTATTAACAAACGGAAGATACAGATAGAAATTTGGACAACTTTTCGCTTTTCACTTTCAACAATCAGTTAATTGTCAACACAAAGTAATGAGCAAATTTATATGTTTAGTATGTAAATTAAATTATTGTTATAATCTGTACAAGATAAATACTATTACAACTCTTTTCTCATTAACTAAATTTGGGTTATACAAACAAAAATTGATCCATTTTAATCAATTGTTAAAATTAATCAATTCTATTATTAGATCTCTTTTTTATCAGATGGAATTTTTAAAAATTATACAAAACTGTAATTAGAAAGAAATGAAAAATTTGATGGAGACTCTTTTGATCATGGAGAACATTTTAACAGCGAAAAAAATATTATTTATCGATACAATGGTTCATGGTGATTTAAAGTTCTCTAGATTTTCACAATTAAAGATGATCTGTATCAACAGTTATCTAAATCAGATTTGTTTATATATAAATAGAATAACAGATTACCAAAGAAAAAGGAGAGAAGAAAATTGGAGAAAAGTTGATTAAGATATTTGGTTTTCTCATGAATTCATTTACGAGGCGAATAAAAAATATCATAATTGTTCATTCCTTTTCTCTATCATGTTTTGTTCATCATGCTGTCTGAAGGAACATGAGTGACCACTGAATCTGAAACAGATAGAGAGAACTCTAGAAACATCATTAACACAATTGTATCACAATTTGATTCACTTTGTTTTTCTTTTCAAATCGGTGGTTAAGTTGATGAGGTTTTTGTTGATACTTTTCTTTCAATTGAGTTTGATGATGAAAATATGATGATGGTGAAGTTAAATGGCGAAGATGATTAATGATGAAAATGTTGTAGAGAGAGAGAGAGAAAGGAGTTGATAGATGATCCAAATTATGAACAAAAAAAATGGGATAGAAAATAGATTTTGTAAGGTCTTTTAAACTTATAGTGTGTGTTGATTATCAATGATTTGTTTTTACAATTGTTCCTTTGTTTTATCGTTGACGAGGGTTTTTTTTCTTCATGTTCTTATATCAGTAGAAACTCCTGAATCGTTGAGATCACCACTGAAACGTAAATTACATTCACTTATATTTGGCTCATTCGGAGCGACTTCATCTGAATCGTTTTTATCCACGAAATCATCATACTCTATGGTTTGACCGGAACAGGAACGAAATATTGAAAATTTCAATGATTGGGTAAAATTATCACGGATTCTTTCAAAAAATGTTCTCTCTATCATTTCATCGTAAGATTGAAAATCAAAATCAGCTACTTCAATACTCAATTCTTTCCTCTGTCTCATATGTATGGCAATACCAGCGATAATGATTAAAACTGCTAAGATTATACTGCAAACAGGGATTAAGATGAAGCTTAATTGAGCTCGATGTTCAACTAGAAAAAAGAAAATGAGAAACAAAATTATTGTTAGTATCAAATTTACGGATAATACTTAATGTTAATTGATCGAGTTACAATCATAATACTTACTCTCATAGATTAGGATGGTCATGTTTTTGGTGAATGATGAGACGTCATTGGAAACTTTAGTGATTAAATTTTTCTTTCCTTTTGCATCAAAATATCTTGTTATTATGAAGAAACTTTCATTTGTTGATGTACAATAAGGAATCAATAATGTATCATTATCTGGTATATCTAATATTTGCCAGCAATACCAGAAAGGTGGAGATCCACCATCGATTTTCATTGTAAGTTGTAAACTTTCATCTCGAAATAGTTCAACATTTGTATGACCATCAGCGGTTAAATTGTGAATTGGATCACGACTTGTTAATACAATATCAAAGGAACCATTTTTTTGCATTAACACTTCATTTGATGAAGTATTTAAAGAAGCAAAAACAATGACAGTTATATTATTTGGTTGTGGTTTAGTGAAATTAGATAAAATGGTTTGATCAAAATATTCCTCTTCAGGTGATCCATTGATAATCCATTTGTATGTTATATTGGCTGAAGCGAAAAAATCACTTGGATCATGAATTTTGGCTGTCATGTTGACTTGACTTTCGGTGGAAACAAAATTTCGTGCAATCGACTCTTTAGGAATTGCTTGTTCATAATTAATTGTTCCCAAGAGTGAATCTAAAAGAGAGAGAGAGACAAATTAGTTATCATTGAAAAAAAAAGTGATACGAGTCTAGTTTAATTGACCTTGATTAACAGATGAAAAGTGATAATTAAATGCGTAAATTTTGATTAAATATCATTTACACAAATAAGTCACATGTTGATTAAAATTTTTTGCTACAAATCTAGTTACAAGTAATTGAATGTGTAAATAGAAAATAGTAAATAAAAAAATTCAATCAACAACTATTAATAATTATCATCTAATGTTACCATGAAAACATTGCTATGATTGGGCGTTTGTTGATAGTCTCTGATAAAATTACGCTTAACAAAGGCAGTATATATGGAATTACATAAGATAATCTCTTTTTTTGATAATTAATTTAAAGAAAATTCTCATTAAATTTGAGATAATCAACTAACCTGAAAGTTGAAAGGTAGATACAACGGTTCCTATTGAGTAGACGGGAGTCCACATGAAACGATACCAAACATCAACTTCTACCAGGTAGAGTTGTTTATTTGTGGAAACATTTGGTGAACGAAAGGTTACAGAATGCCGAACATTATCTGCTGTAGATATAATAGATGTATCTTTGTCCGGAAAATCTGGAAATTTAAATCGATACTCAAAACGAGGAGCAATTGTTGAGTAGGTGTTGAATACTTTAAAGGTTATCGGTGTGTCAATTGTTGTAGGCCCATCATTGTAAACGGTTATATAATCACCGGCCACTGGATATAAAAGGAAAAGGCAATAAATCAAATGAACCACCATTGGTCTAGAACTGACCTTCATGTTAAATAGCCAGTCCATAATCCAAACATATCCAATCCCCCTGTAGAATAAATTTAATTAATATCAAGAAAACAATTAATTCAAATCAAAAACAAAGATGACAAAAAATCAACTAAGGTAAAAGGAAAACCTTTCAATCATCTTGACCAGTTAATTTTACCAAATTTTACTTACATGTTTAAAATCAATGGAATTCAAACTAAATCGCCAACATTTCACATAGTTAATTAGTAAAAATTAACAGCCTATGATTAAAATAATCGGTCAATAATTACAATTAAACAATAACAATGAAAGTAAAAACAAAAAATTATTACAGAAAATGAGAAAAAAATTATCCACCAGATGTCGCTAGTTGGAAGCGAAAGCGCCAAAATTTAATTGTCTACAATTAAGTGAATTTAAATTGTAATTGATTGACTTAATTTCTTCCATACAATTAACCATAATACTCTGAGATTAACCTTTATGGTTAATGGATTAATTAAATGACCATTTGATAAAACAAGTTAACCTTTTAAGTAAATCAAATTAACCTGAAAACTTGACCAGAGACAAAAAAAAGTTAATCATAATCTTAAATTAATCCAATAGATTTACAATAATCATAACTGCACCTTTAACAATTGTGAACAACAACAATTTAGACAATTTAAATTGTAATCAAATCAAATCAAAGTCTTCAGGTCCACGAGTTGGATTAATCTAAATTGACTGAGGTGTGTTATCTAATTTCATATTGATTAGTTGATTGTTATTGATTAGAAACAATTGAAAAATCAAATGAACACAATGAACAAAATTAAATTCATCATTAACACTAATCAAAATTATATAAAATGAAATATATTAAATAAATTGTTAACTGTTGTTAATCTGTAACACCGAGAAAAAAAAAGTAACAGTTACAATTTAATTACAATTGATTCACATTTCAAATTAACCTTGACAATAAAATGAACTAAATTATTTTGATTCAAATTAAGGTTTGGTCATTATCAATTTAAATTATATTGACCAAATAACCATTAAACTATTGACCAAAAAATCAACAATTCAACAAAGTATAATGATGAAAACAAAAATTACCTCCACCCAATTAATATAATCAACAATTAAGAGAAAATTTTCTTTCCAAATTGTGATTACAATTAAAATTTAGAAAATACAATTTACTTTCGGATTCAATCAAATTTAATGTAATATTTTTGTTTCCTAAAATTATTCAAATCAAATCAGTTGGTTTTACCAACGATACTCAAAGTATTTTAATTAGAGTTGAATTAAATTTTAATCCAGTTTTTGGTAACCAAATCAATAGTAACAATTTGTTTAATTTAGACTTGAAATAAAACAAAACAAAACCTAAATCAGGTTAATTAGTAAATTGTACAACAATACCAACCATAACTTATTAGCAATAAATGATTAGTTTGAAATCAACCTTGAAATTAACAACAACAACAATTAAAATATATTAATCACTATTAACCAGATTATTGATGATTAAATTGGTTAAATTTGACTTATTAAGATTAATCAGTTTCATTTTAATTGTTTCAACAAAGAGAAAGAGCCAGTAAAAAATTTACTAATTACTTTTGATTGTTGATTTAAATTCAATTCAGTTCAATTGTAACCTTGATTAGAGAATAGCATTTAATTATACTCATGTTAATTATCAGTCAATTCTAAACAATTAACAAGCTATTATTGTCGGCACTAACTGTTCATTAATTTTTCAAGCTTAATCATTAATTTAAATTGTTCATTATCATTGAAAACATTTCAATCAGTTGAAACAATAACGATAACGATGAAATCGCCATGAACATTGAATAAAATTCAAATTCATGAAACAGTTTATTCAATGATATTGAGATTGGATTAAGTTATCCACTAATCGATATCTTAATAACTATTAACAATCAACGACAATTAAGTGTTTACAAATCAAACTCACAATTATTGTAACAATCAGTTGATTACTTTATTTAATATTCAATTCATTATAATTGATCATCAGTATTTGAATTGAATACAAAACTGTTATGATTGTGATTAAAAAACTTTTTGTTTCTTAATTGTTTGATTAAAACCGATTGTGATAAATATAAACATTTCATTGGGAAGATAATTGAACAGTAACAATCAATATGATCAAGGAAATTAACTATTGATTAAGAATATAGATTGTTAAATAGGATTTTAATTGTTTGTAACAAGTTGATTTAAAATAAATCAATCAAATTAATCTAATCAATTCTTGTTGGTATTGAAACGGAAGTTTTTTTTTGTTCAAGATAAATCTGAAAAAAATGTGATAATCAATCAATAAAATCAAGTTAATCACGGAAATCAGAAATCAACAATTTAGCTAATGACCAACTTAAGTGGTCAGCAAGTGTAAAAATTTAAACACAATTGTGATTAAATTAAATCAACTTACACATCGAGCTAGTTAACCAGAAAAGTTAAAAGTTTAAACAACTTTGATCACAATCAAGATACAAATTGATGATAATCAATTTAAGCACAAACTGCAAACTGATTGACCTTTAATTAAATTAAAACAATCATCCTCTTGATCAATAACTAATTAATTTTAACTAGATAATTACTGATTAGTTAATCAGAAAATGTGATCATAAAATTAAGATTTAAGGTCAGATAAAATTGTCGACCATTAATTGTCGTGAGTTCGATGGCTTGAAATTTATTGATTTATACGAAAATTCAATACGAGGTTATAAGTTTCATTCGAGAGGACATCATGCTCCATGGAGGAAAAGCTGAATCGGACTTTCGACCAGCATTCCCAACGAATTGGACGATCGCTAAGTCGAGGCCATTACCAAGGAAAGAGATCAACTGACCACTAGGGCGATTATCAGAGAGAGAGAGAGAAGTAAGTAAAACTGTTGACCCTAACAAGTTCAGAGTCTTCAGGGTAACATGATGGAAGATGATATGATTCATATTCTAGAATCCTAGAAATTTCTCAGAATCAGAAAATATGTCGAAATTATCTGATTCCTTAGTACATGATAAACATTTCGATATCAAATTGTGATGACAATTTAATAAGTAACCAATTAGTCGAGAAGTAATCAACTTCTTTTTGGTTTTAATTGTGCAAATATTAGTCTTCTAATTGTTCATGATTAGTTTTCACTGTATCAATAACCCAGCGGCACAATTATTAATAATATTAATTCATGATATTAATTATGGTTAACGGGTAAAATAATTAAATGTGATTATTATTAATTTTAATACAGCAATTTGATCATTCAATCATTCAGTTGAGATATAAAATTAAAGTTCATTACCTTGATTAATTGTTAATAGTATTTTTGATTGGTAATTTCTTCCGGTTGATTATCATAAAAATTCAAAATTTATATTATCAATTTAATTGATTCTCTATTCCTTTTAATTGATAATAGTTTCAATTGTGAACAGCAAATTACTATTACAAGTTAATTGTGATCAACAACAAAACTTTATTCATCGATGAGCACAATTGATTAATTGTGATTATCAACTAATGATAAACAATTTAATGAAAGCCTTTGAGCAAGTCCAATCTACTCACTAATACTTGATAATCATTTTCAATGATAATTAGTTGCAATCATCGAGAGTTAATTGTAATTATAATTTAAGACGGTTAATTATGATAAGACACCTTGATTTAATTACTGATTTACTCACTGATCTGATTGAGAAAAAAGTTAATTCAATGACTAGATTGATTTCCTCTTGAAATATAAGGAAAATTAAATTAGTTAATTGAAACTTTACCGAGACAAAGATATTACAAATCAATTTTGAGCAACAATTAGTTAATCACTTGATTTAGTAACAAAGTGTTTCTTGAATCAAAGACAATCAATATCAACAATTTAACTTGTAGTTTAATTGTATAACCTTAAAAAATTAACAGATTCAAGTAAAAAATTGTTCATTTTTAAATCGTTAATTGTTTGAAACTTTAATTGTCACAAACCCAAATTGTAACCTTGTTATTGAAATCAAATTAATGATATTTATTGGATTAATTTACCATTGATTTAATCAAACAATATTGATTGTGATTTCATGGTTAACAATTAACTGATCAGACACATAATTAAATATCTTGATTATTATTCCTGGGTAAGGTTATTATAAGAATCAGATTAATTGTTAATCTAAATTAAACTGATATTAAATCAATACAATATTTTGATTGCTGATCACTAATTAAGTTTTAATTTTGTTCCCCCTGAAACTTTTCAATCTTAATCAAAAGCAATCAATATACAACAACAAACCATAGCTTAAAATGGTCAGTTAATTGTGTCGATTTAGTTGATTGTTAACTCAATGTCCATTCAAGGTTATGATCACAGTTTAACAATTAAAAGTTGATTTTTGATTGTAAACTTGATTGTAATCAACATGAAAAAAAGCTAATAAATCTAACCAAGATCAATTTCATTTTGATCAATCACCTTAAAGGTAATTATAATAATAAGATTAACTGATCAAATATAGTGATTAATTACTTGGGTTGATTATTGTAACAATTAAATTGTACCAATGATCATTAATACAATTAAATTAACAACACCAACACCTTATGTCAACTTGCTCTGGTTAAAATTAAATCTCATGTCTAATTCAATTGTGATTAACTGATGACCTGGAATTAGATTGTTACAAGTAAATTAAATAATCGTAAGTGAAAGTTGTTGTTGTTGTTGTTGATTGTTTACAATTAGAGTTTACAATTGTATTGATAAACCTTGAAGAATGAAAATTAAATCAATTACAATTGAATTTGAATAATGATCTTATTATTATCTAAATCGTTGGTCAAATTTGATGTATTAATTATTAATCCATTAAGATTAATAGATTACAATTTAGGTTAGGATAATCCAATAACCTTCATCTATGTTATCATCAACTTTAAATTGTTGATCAATTTTGGGTAACAATTAATAATAAATATAATACTTTTCATCGGACAACAATCAAAAATATGGTCAATATTTAATATAATATAATAATTACTCTTATCATTTAATTATTAAAGTTTTTACATTACCTTAATTGTCAATTGTAACTAAATTGTAACTTAAATTTACCTGTTAATTTATATATTTGTATGTAATACTAACTATTGATTACCCTTGGACTGAATTAAAAGTCATTGTTAACTGTAACAATCAAGTAATTGTTCAGATTGATTTTAAAACTCTAGAGCTTAATTATCAAACCATAATCATCATTATTAAATTATTGTTATCATGTTGTTGGAAACTTTTAATCAACTAATCATAATCCTGAAACTTTGTTAATCAAAATTGACACAATTTGTTAATGAAACTTTTTTGTCTTAATTTCCTAAATCTGATGATAAGTGTTCATTGCGGAAGCCTAACAACAACAATTTAATTAATCATCATCAGATTTTTGAACAATTAATTTTTCCCATTTAGTATTTTATATAATACATATTAATGGCGGGAGAAAATTTTATGATGATTATGTGATGAAAATGATAATTATGATGAGGATCTTGATGATTATGATGATGATGATGATGATTGTGAGTGATGAGTGATGGACAGACAGGATTAAAGTGGTTCTAATAGCCTCAGGGCATCTGCACCTTGTTGTTATTAATGGTTATCTGGTGTTGATGATGATGGACAGTAGGTGTCTGATGGCAAACAAATGATTAGATGATAAAGAAACTAAATTAACTGTAAAGTGAATACAACAATTAATGATAATTGTTGTATTCCAGCAATTAAAAAACAAAGTTGTTACTGTTTTTGTTGTTGTTGTTGAAATGAAACAAAAAAATATCCAACAATCAAAGTGATTGTTGTAATTAAAATGAATGAATTACTTTTGGTTGAATTACCATCTAACTGATTTAAATGATTAACATGAAAATGATTTACAATTGAAGTTAATCAAGTCTACAATTAAACTGTGTAAAGTAACATGTAAGATTAGCTAATCAGGATTAACAATATTGATGAAACAGGCTAATCCATTTGTTTGTCTGATTAAGATAATAATGATTATCGGTTAAATTGTTGTTAAGATTAACTAATCTGGATTAATAAATTAATTCCGCTGATTGTTTTGCTTTGTTATCGTTGATTGGTCAAGTTAAATTATCAAATGAATGTTAATTACAAACTAATTAACTTGATTGAAAGAGGAATTAACCTTAAATTGTTTATATATTTCTTAATCTAGTTTCTTAATTTGATAAAACCTGATTAATCGTGATCATGTTTAACTAATTGTTTGAAATTTAAAGGTAAAAAAGTACTAAGTAAATCATTGATTGAACTGAATTAATTTTAATCATTTAGCCGGAAGTTTTTAATAAACTATTTACTAAATCTGATAACAACAAATGATCATCAACATCATCATCATCATCTTTAACCAACGCAATTTGTTGATTGTTAACAATTAACAAATATTAAAAACAACAACAACAACAAAAGTTGTTAATTAAACGATTACAGTTTTGATCAGTTAAAAATTCAAAGGAAAACATTGATTAATAAATTACAATTTAAACTAGATGTTGATTAGCTTCTTACTGTTATATTAATACAACGTTAATTGTAATTTAAATAATAATTGTTAATCATCCCACACAATTAATATAAAATCCTAATTGTGTATTAATCATACTTGATTAGTGAAGATTAATAATAAAACAAAAAGTTTGACCAAAAAAATGAAAAGTTTTCACAACTAATCACGATTTTGGATCAATTACCTTAACGAACTGAATTAAATCACTAATATTGATTAAAGTTTCTCAAAAATTTTATCGATTTAATTGTGATACCTAATTGCCAATATTAATTTGATTCTACTCTCTCTCTCTCACTGATCAACAATTTAAAATTAAAAATTCTTCTTATAATCTAATTTATCTTGAATACGTTCAAACTGTCAATCGGTTTTACATCTGATTATGATTGTTGATTTTCAAACGAAACTATCAAACCTTAATCACTCCTAATAAGATGATTATTTGCTTGTAATGTTTAATTACCCCACTAATCAAATCAAATCAAAATCAAGTCGAAGAAGAAAATAAAATAAAATCCAAATGATTAACTTTGATTAAAATTGGAAAGCAGAACATGTAACAAATAATTGTATCTTAAAGCCTGATAATGGTCATTTATTAATTATCATATGGTCATTAGGATGAAATGTTGACCAAAATATAAGGAGAGATGACCTAAAAACCTAGAAAAATTAAAGTTGATCAAGTAGAGGATGAAGATGAAGATGAAGATGAGGATGAAAAGTCCATTATCATCACCTTACCGAGAATTGATGATGAAAATATTTTGTCCTTGGCCTCGGTGGGTTTAAGAGTCAATTAGATTCAAATAGAGATTAAAATTTATTAAATTGAAAACTTTTACTTTTCAGAAAATGTTAATAATATATTTTGGCTTATTGACCATTCATTGAATTTCCCATCATCTATTGCATACAAGCCCTAAGGCTATAATAATAGAAACTGAAAATCGATGATGAAAATTGAAGATAATGACGATGAAATGAAGATGAAAACGAAGGTGATGGCGGAAAAAAAAGTTCTCAACAAAATGAAGAAAAAACTTTGAACTGAATTAAATGATTTCTCTTCATATTGAACTGATTCGATAATTTTTTCTTTCTCCAATCGTATCGATTATCGTTCATGTATAAATGTCCAGGTAGAAAATGATGATAAAAGGAGATGTATTATATTTCTCTTTCTTTTCTTTTTCATCCTCTCGCTCCCTCGGAATAAAGTGAAAGTATAACCGATGAGCCTCTCCCCGAAATCGCGATCAATGAAAAGCGCGTGGAAACGCGTTTTTTTTATAATTTTCTCTTTCTCAGTTTGGGATGGGCTTGGTTATCATCTTATCTTCTCTTTCTTTTTTTCTTTCTTTCCTTTCTCGAGAACTTCATTTCGTTAGGTGTAACCACGGTGTCTACGAAAGATTTTTGATTCTCTCTCTCTCAAAGTGATAACGAAATGAATTAAGTAGCTCAATGAGGAGATAAATTTTCGCTCCCAGTTTATCTTCTCTTTCTTTTCTCTTTTACTTTCGATTACCTGTCTTTCTACCTTGTGGTCAGTTTGTCGCTTCGATCGTAACTTCGAGTAAACTTTTTTTCTTCTTTTCGTTTAATTCATTTTCATTGAATAGTTTGTTCTTGTTAGTTTGTGCAAACAGATTAAATTGCTACTATTAGTTAATTGTTGGTGAAATCCAAGCTGATTGCTTGGTCCTGTTATTCAATTGATTCTCAGTTTTGAAAAGTTTTACATGTTAACCATTTTGTAACTTTTGTTATTTAAATTAAAATCAAAATTTACCAATTGGAAAAGACAATTAAGATGATTGAATCTAAATCGTTGAGTTTGATTGTGATTCTTTTCACTATTTCAAATGTATCTTGTCAATTTTTTGACCCAAGATTATCATCATCAGGATCATCTTCGCCATCTTCATCACCTTTTGCATTTTCACCACGAGGATTATTTGGCCCTCCATCGCCATCATCATCATCTCCATTCAGTTTTTTCCCTTCTCCATCTTCCTCCTCATCCTCTGATTCTGGTTCCCAATTTCAAACTATCCCTTCCGGTGACCCTTCAAATCCAAGTTTCACTCGATTTGCCTCCTTTGATCGACCCTTAACCTCAGTCGCACCTGAAGGCTTACCCGCCGATGAACTTTCAGCTCTAACCCGAAGTGGTGCATTTTCGGGCCTCACCTCATCTGATCCACAATCTCCACCACGATCATTCAATAATAACAATAATCCATTTGCTTTTGGGCAACAACAATTTCCTCCATCACCATCAGCTGATTCAGAAATTCAATTCCCAGGTAGACCACAATTCACCAATGAAGGACAATCACAATCAACACCTTTACCACCCCAACAATCAACACCCACATCAACTGATGACCGGCGATTCAATGGTCAACCAGGAGTAGTTTATGAACCTGAAGAGGAAAATGTAAGTTAATCATTTTAATCAATAAAAAGATATTAATTTTCATCAAGTAGGAAATTTGATTTGAAAAAAAACAGGAGCTTGATTAAGTAGCAATTAACTTAATCCACTTAGAAAATTACATTTTGAACTTGAAAAATGAAAACGATAATTGTTAGGAATCAAATAATATGTATAATCATGATTCAAACAATTTGCTTAATTGTAACGATAATCAAGAGAAATTTGTTTTCATTATCATTGACATTGAATATTCATAAAATTGGTTTACCATTAGTTGATTAAACCTTTAATTTTGTTTTCCACAATTTAATCACGTTCTAATGGTTAATTGTACATACAAAAAGTGAAAGTTAATCAAGACGCCAATCCAATTGAATTTAAATCCATCGTGAAGGAAGAATCATGAAAATTAACAATTTAACAATCAAATTATTAGTCTAACAATTAACTGAACAGTAGTTGAAAATTTTTATCGTGATTAAAATAAATTGTAATAGTTTTAGTTTTAATAGAATTGATTTATTATCAATTCAGATCATCTCGAATTGATTAGAAATGTTTTCTTGCTTTGGTCAAGTTGAATTTAGAGTGAATTAACTAATTGTTTTGTTTTCTTTAATCAAGTTAATCAACTCTTTCATCAACTAATCAACAATTTAACAATACAAATCGAAACTGTTTATTTGAATTACAATTTATTGTTATTGTTTTATTTTTAATTGTTTAGCTTTAGTTTTAAACAGTTGGTTAAATGATTATAATGGAAAGACAATTAAAAAAGATTGAGTTTTGATTAGGATTTTTTAATCAACTTTCTTAATGTATGATTATTAATTTAATTGATTTCTCAGGATGATTAGAGTTGATTTTAATTGTTTAATTATTACTAAACTTTACATCTTGTTATTTAATTGTATCGATTTAATCTGATTATTTGTTTTGCAATTGTTTTTATCAATGTCATCCTTTGGTTGTATGATGATGAAAATTATCAGGCTGACCTCTCATCGCAAGGTCAATCACAATTTAGATCACAATCAGGATCATCTCAGCCTTTTGTGAATCCAGAATTTTTCGGCTTCGGTCCAGCTCAACGTCCATTCCAAGGTCAACAAGCTTCACGACCTCAACTGCCAATACCTCAACCTCAAGATCAACCTCAATCTCCTCCTCGAGCTCAAGAGCAATCAACTCAATTCCAGTCCATTCCACAGAATCAACCACAATTCCAACCTCAGTTTGTACCTTCATCTCAATCCCAACCTCAAGCACAGCCTGACGCTCAATTCCAACCTCGACCTCAGCCACATTTCCAATCTCCACCTCGACTTCCCATACCTCAACCACAATTCGAGAATCAACCTCAAAGCCAACCACAATTTCAATTTCACCCACAATCACAATCATCTGGATTAAATCAACCATCAATCCAGCCACAATCACAACCACAGTTTCAACCTTTACCCCAACCAGCAATTCAGCCAGAATCCATTCAAACTCCACAGAATCAGCCACGATTCCAACCTCAGTTCGTACCTTCACCTCAACCCCAACCACAAGTTCAATCTGATTCTCAATTCCAACCACGACCACAACCGCAACCTCAATTCCAACAACCATCAGGCCCTGAATTAAGTAGACAGCCTAACCCACCCTCACAGCCCGCCCTTCAATTCATTTCACTACCGCCACCAACACCTCAACCTCAACCTAGACCACAACCACAGCCACAGTTCCAACCACAACCCCAACCCCAACCTCAACCTCAACCTCAACCTCAACCCAGACCACAACCACAACCACAACAACAGTTCCAACCTCAACCTTTGCCTCGAGCTCAACCTCAACCTCGACCTTTAGTCCAACCCGCGTCCATTTCCCCTCTGAGGCAACCATCTTTCCCATTAGCCAATAACAACGACCAAAACGGTTTGTTAATCTCTTTATATGGCCTAGAAGCAAATCGATCATCAGCTCCACAATATCGACAAGAACCAACCGTCCAACCTCAATCAGCACCATCAACACCAAACGAAAACAATAATAATGTCGCTTCAAACATAAATTTTGATCTTCCATTACTACGATCATTTATGCAAGCAAACAACATCCGGGTTCACAATCATTCACCAAATTATAACCTTAGAACAGTCCAACCCACAGCAGCACCACGAACACTATCCAGTGAAAGTTTCACATTCCCAACAACAACTCCAGCGCCATTAGCTCGATCAACTGTTGCATCTTTCAACACCTCGAATAATTTAAATGTTGGCTCAATTAGAGATTCATTAATATACTCAGATGAGTTCACACGAAACTCCGGATCTTCAAACGATGAACCAAACGATTCTCGAGTAACATCTTCATTCCAACCATCAGCACCATTAGCACCTCCACCAACAACAACACCAAGACCAACCCAATCATTACCAAATTACTATCAACCTGAAACCGTGCGAACACCAAATGAAACACCTCGAATGATCGCAGTTTCAGGTCGATACCTTGGACCTCAACTTCCACCTCGAAGAGGATACGGTCGAGTTACAGCTCAAACTCTTCCACCAACATTACCGACAACAACGACTACAACATCGGCACCTTTCGAAGAACCTTACGATTTCTCTGAACCTGAAAATTCTAGTGAAGAAAATCTCAATTCCATCCGACCAAACACTAACTTCCCTGATCTACAACGAATCAAGCCCGTTAATCGTACATCAGCATCATTCTCAGTATCGGTATCATCATCATCATCATTAACAGCACCCTCTTCCTTATCATCGCCTCGACTTTCATCAAACTTCAACAACGTGGGAAATTATCCGATAACAAGTTTACCCGTTCAAACAACAACACCGAATCCAAATGAGTATGTACGTATCGCAACCTCATCATCATTATCATCTTCGTCCTTCACATCAGCACCCGCGGTAGTCACTGAACCACCTTACGGAACCAGTTTAAATAGAGTCGCTGCCGCTCCTTCAGTTAGCCTGAGGCCATCATCATCTTCCTTATCATCTTACCAATCAAATAGCGTTGAACCTAATCGAGTTTTCAACATTCAAAGCTCAGGCTATGGAAATGTTCAACGAGAACGTGGTGCTGGTGGAGCTAATCAAATAGCTCGTTCTCGATTCACCACAGGTCGTCAGTCATCTTTACCTCGAACATCATATTCATCTTCAGTTTCATCATCATCATCATCTTCTTCTTCTTCTTCTTCCTCATCTGATTTGGCATCAACTGCTAGTCCAATAATTTACCCAATCAATTTTTACAAACACGTCGATGAACTAGCAACCCCGGCATCCTCATCATCTGCACCTCCTGCAACCGAATCAACTTTCCCATTAGTTGTACCAACAACACCCGTTCCAACTACATTTGGACCATCAGAAAATAATGCGGAAGATGAAACTCGTCCAATAGTTTTATCAAATGCTCGTCAACCTTCAGTTCGATCAAATTCGGTTCGATCATATCTCCAGGCAAACAATTATCGATCAAATGTAAGACGAGTCGTTGCCGTTAGACGAGGTCCAAATGGTGTACGAACCAATACAATATTAAGGTCAACAGCCGGTTCTCCTTTAGCACCATCAACAATTTCATCATCATCAGATCCATTAGCAAGCCAACCAAATCAATCACAGCCTACAAGTTATCGGATCTCTCGCATTGTACCATCATCATCATCAACAGCAGTTCCAACAACAATAACAACAACAACAGTTCAACCTACAACAACAACATTAGCACCTCCAACAGTCCTACGAACTGAAAGAGTTCATAAATCATCTCGTCCACTTCCAGCTGATACCGATGGCGATGGTGTTCCCGGTGAGTCGGGCAAAGATTATCCAACTCATGTAACGATCCCAAAAACCTCCTTCTCATGTGCCAATGTACCAAATAACGGTTATTATGCCGATACCGAGGCCTCATGTCAAGTTGTCCATCTTTGTCAGTTCGGTACAACTCAAGATTCGTTCTTATGTCCAAATGGAACCATTTTTAATCAACAGAAATTCTCATGCCAATGGTGGTACCAAGTTGATTGTGCCAATGCTCCAACTTATTATGAATTAAATGATAATTTCCAATCAGCTCGAATTAATCCCTCCTCATCATCATCAACTGGATCAAGAAATGCCAATCAACTTTAAAAAGCGCGAATTTTTTTTATATAAAATCATTTTTATCAATCATCTTGATCATCAACAATTAACTTTTTGTTTTATCCTTTCAACTAATTAAATAAAATAAAAATAAAAATAATGAAACTATGATTTGTTGTTGTACATTTCATAGGGCATCTCACCAAGTTTTCAACAAGTTTTTCTCGAATAACTTTTTTGTTTTTGAGCGTTGAGGCCCCAAACTCGAGTTATGGTAGTTTAGGTCATACTCAATTGTCATATTAAAATGTCAAGGTCATTCCGGTCATTCTGCTAGGATACGGTTTCAAGGTCATTTGGGGGTCACAATCGAATTAACTTGCAATCATTAGGCTCCATACGAGTTTACAACTTTTGGACATTATTATATGATTGCCGGAATTAAACGTTGTTGAAACCAAACGGAATGACTAAATTTATTCAGTTTTCGCTAATGTGTTTTCTCATTATCATGGTTATCGAAGCTCTTCCGCTCGATAAGTTTGTTTATTTACCTATGAGTTTACATAAAATCGACGTAAAAAAGGTAACAATTTAGTTTAATTTAGTTTAATTTCTACTCTAGTTGTTTAATCATCTACTAGATGTAGTTAGTTTAAATTGCACATTTATACATAACTGTTAATTTTTAATTTGTCTTTCAGTTGACATCAGTCATTTTTTTTTAAATTTTTAAAATGAATTTTAAATTATTTGTTTTTATTGTATCTTTTCTAATTGTTTTCCCTCTCCCTTCCATTCATGATCCTCACCATCAACAACCAAAGCAACAACAAAGTGAAAATGAATCCTCTGAATCGACCACAAATGCTCCTACAACAAGTGGTCAAGAATCAGGACCTGCTCCTCAACATCCGGTCAATATGACCGGAATGACCTTGATATTTTAATATGACAACTGAGTATGTTTGAAACTATCATAACTCTAGTCTGGGGTCTCAACGCTCAAAACAAAAAGTTATTCGAGAAAAACTTGTTGGAAACTTGGTAAATACCCAGTATATTGATTGCTTTTGATTAAGATTGAAAAGTTTCAGGGGAACAAAATTAAAACTTAATTAGTGATTAGCAATCAAAATATTGTATTGATTTAATATCAATTTAATTTAGATTAACAATTAATCTGATTCTTATAATAACCTTACCCAGGAATAATAATCAAGATATTATTTAATTATGTGTCTGATCAGTTAATTGTTAACCATGAAATTAATCCAATAAATATCATTAATTTGATTTCAATAACAAGGTTACACTTTGGGTTTGTGACAATTAAAGGTTCAAACAATTAACGATTTAAAAATAAACAATTTTTTACTTGAATCTGTTATTGAAAATGATTAGTAAGTATTAGATTGAACTTGCTGAAAGCCTTTTACTAAATTGCTTACCATTAGTTGATAATCACGATTAACTTTTTTAAATTGAAGAAATAACTAAATTTGTAAGAGTAATTTGGTTAATTACATGGAAGAATTAAAATAATTATAATTTATGCTCTTAATTGTGGACAATTAAATTTTGGCGCTTTTCTCTTTCAACTAGCGACATCTAGTGGATAATTTTTTTCTCATTTTCTGTTGAAATATTTTCTTTACTTTCATTGTTTATTGTTTAATTGTAATTATTGACAATTGACTGTTAATTTTTACTAATTAACTATGTGAAGTTTTGTTCCTTAAACTGTATTAATGAAGTGTTCGCAATGCAATTCAACTTTCTTTGAGATCGAAAGTGTAAGTAATTCAAAATTTGTTCATTCAATCAGTTGTTTTCTTTTTCTCTAATTTTCATTGATTGATTTTTTTTTCTTCATTTTCTCTTTTAGGGTGATAAAGTTTGTGTAAATTGTGGACTAGCTAAAAATGATCGATACGAGTCTAATGCTACCGCCGATGGACTGACTTACACTAATAACAGCGTATTCAATGGACAAAAGATACCAAATACATTGAAACATTCAATTGCAAATAGAGATGGAGCTCGGGCTATTAAAGATGCTCTTGAACGAACCATTCGAATATGTGATTATTTTAAATTCTCTTGTACAATGATACAAGATGTTAAGGATATCTTTAAATCTTTGGTTCGATCATCCAAATTCTTGCGAAAATATTTCAGAAGTAAAGTTATCCTCGGCGGTGTGGTAATACTAATTGTAGCCAATAGATCAGAACTGACTATACCAAAGGAAAAGATTTGCGAAAGAATTGGCTGTTATTTAGCTGAATTTAAATCGGTTCTAAACATGGTCATTGAAGAGAATCCTAGTCTTAAACCAACACCGAAACCAATGAGTGATCTGATTCCACATCTTGTAAATGGAGCAAAATTTGATACAACGGAAACCAATGTGATAAAAGAAAGATGTAAACAGTTGATTGAATTAATTTCTGAATCAAATATGATGAATGGTAAAAATCCAACCCACATAATACATGCAGCTTTATGTTTAACCTGGAAATCAATTAAACCCAAAGAACGAGGGGTCAATAAGATAACGTTTAGAAAATTTTGTTCCATTTGCGATTTACCATTTTCGGAGACTGGTAATCAAAGATATAAGGAATTGATAGAATTCATAACAACATTAGTAACATATTTACCATGGAATAAGCTGTCGATTAACATGATCAAGGTGAACTTGTCATTCCACTTGACTGATATTCTAAATCATTCAACGATGGTTCTCGATCGATACAACGAAGCCAATAGACCAAAAGTGCCAATTGAAATTCAAGAAACTTCCAATTTAATGGAAACTTATCAACCAATAGTATTACCAATCGAAGAGCCAGAAATTTCTGATTCAGAAATCGACAAGTACATACGAAGTGCTGGAGAAGTTAAATTTATCAAAAACTTACACCGAAAGACTAAATTGTGAAAAATTATTTATATCAATTAATTTTTACTTTAAATTGTATTATATTTATGTGAAAAAAAACTCATCACTAAATTTCACTAGTTAGATGAGAAAATTGGAAAAAACCACCAAAATGTAAGATAAAAATGTTTATTTACTTGTAACAATTAAGAAATTGATCAATAACAATTGTAAATTAATCACAATAATTTAAAGGGATAATAAGGGAAACTCAAATTAATTATTTAGAGGACTTTGACTAATTTGATTTTGTTTCCATGCTAAAAATCAATTGTTCAATGATGAAATATCAAATTACTTTGAATAAAAAGTTCTCAATTAAAACTCCTTTGATAGACTTGGAATCATTAATATCCAAATACAATTAAAAGGGATAAACATTTACCGTTATAAAAGTAAAACTCATAAATGATCAACCGATTAACAAGCATCTTAATGGTCTCTTGCAATAATTTGAGTATTTTTGTCCTCCACCAAGTAAATTGTTTGCAATTCAATTGAATTTTCAAATGCAAACTTACATTAATGATCAATTTCAATTCAAATAATTAACCTTTTATTGCCTTTTTTACACAACATTAAGGGACAGGGTGGGTCTTCCTCCTCTTCCTCCTCCTCCTCCACCTCTTAATCCTTTCGCTTCCTGATAACCCCTTTGGCTCAATTCATCTTATGTAACATTATGGTTTCTCCAGTCACTCAGATTGAATAGCTGAATATGAGTTAAAAAAAACACTATCACTAAATTGTCACCATGATAATAACAATCAAAGGGTTAACAATGTCCCTAATTATATATATGAACTTTTTTATCGCCGAAGAAAAAAAAATATTAATGTTCAATTGTTGTAACAATTTAGATTCTGTAAACATTACGAGCTTTTCATTCACTAGAATCTTTTTTTTCACTACTTCATCATCGGAATTATAATCAACACTCTGACAATTACAATTAGTTGTGATTAATTTATGGCTGTTAAGAAATTCCAAAGAACTTCAAATAATCAATATTCGTTTTCTCAATGTGAATAATGAGCTCAACAGATTGTTAATCATCTTGATTAATTCTGCTGATTAATCTCGATTGTTATCGAGAACCATATCTAATTAGCTATTAGTTTATCCATCAAATTTTTCATGTCTGAGGTAAAGATTAGCCTATGAAATGGTCAGAATTTTATTCTCTATTAAGTGTCCTGAATATTGTAATAGGATAATAAAAAAACTCTTTGAGAGGTCATTTAATGACCATAGACACTTCGATATCTTTGTAGAGAAGTGAAGAGAAATTATCACTAAACTGATTGACAGAATCACATTAGTTGTGGTCAATGTTGATTATAAAATGAGTGAGAGAGAAAAGTTGTCAATCAAACTGACCAAAGGGCAAACTGTTATGTCAATTTAACTTTAGCTTTGGTCAAAATCTGATCTGAAAAACGTTAACGAAAACAACAACAACTGATCAAAATAATGAATATTAATGAAGATACAATGATCAGTAGTTAAATTATTATCCAATTTTAAATGTATCAATTCAAACAATTGATTATCTTTCACAATTATCCGTTTCAATACAGTTTTATTGATGAAATTTGAATTAATCGAAATGTTGAGTGAATCAAGGTTATCATATTTATCAACATGAATTAAGTAAATAATTTACCTTCAGCTGATTGTTTGGAAACATTTTTAACTATCATCAGCATCCAATTAACTAAATTCAATCAGAAACTAATCAAAGTCCATCAAATGTAACAATCAACTGTTCGACAAATTGATTTATAACAAAAGAAATTACAGTTTTTCTGACATAAATTGATGTTTATTTTCACTTTTTTTTACAAAATTTTCTCTTTTTTCATCTCGAATATAATGTTTACATTTCGAGTATTAGATCATTATCTTCAAGTTCGATAAAAATTGTCACTTTTTTTACTTCCCACTGGACATTTAAAATATCCACTGTGCCTAGAACATCAGTTCCATTGTAAAATTTTCTATTAAACTCGAGATAATAAAGGAACTTTAAATTTCCTGTGGTTTCGAAACAGATTGAGGTGTTTCAATCTCTTTAGCAAAGATTAGCTCGATTCAGATTCGAGCTTTGCTCGAATTATCATTTATCATCTTACGATTGGTGTAAACTCTCATAATTATCTTGATCATCATTTTCTGAGCCACTTGAATTTAATTATCATATCGAATAACAAGAAAATCAAAGTGCTCAATTTTTTTACCAAAGATTGAAAAATGAAAATTGATTTGATATAAATTCTGCATGGATAAGTAATGACTGAATAGTTGATTGTTATTAGTTATCGATTGATTTGTATCATAGATCAGATTGATGATCACGATTAAGTGTTGGCTTTTTTTTACCAATTCAATTGAAAAGCAATCAAGCAAAAGTTTAACTAATCACTTTGTTGGTTTAAATCTTCACAATGATACGAGAATTTTAGTTTTAAATTGTTTCCATTTAACTTTATTGGCATCAAAAGACTGAGGGTGATGATATGAATGATCATGCTAATAAAGATGAAGATTATCATCTTCTTAATCCCTCTTTATCTTGAGATTTACAATTAATAACTGAAACAAAAGATTAGAAAAAGTTGTTACTTGAAATTGCATTTTCAATGTTTATCTTTTACCTTAAATATTATTATTAATCAAAGTGAATTTCAATCATGATGATGTATTAACTGACCATCACCATGATGAGCAAGAGATTCAGTTGACTGAGTCTCTATACTGACTTTTTGTATATTCATTTTCATATCTAGATTAAATTGTGTGTCAATAGTATGAGTGATGATGATGAAGATGAAGATGAAGATGAAGATGAAGATGAAGATGAAGCTTTTAAACAACTAAAATAATTGATTACATTTTCTCTTGTAATATCACAATAACTGGACAGTTTTGTCCAGTCAATATCTCTTGTTTTAACTTTGAAGGATAATGAAATGATAACCAAAAACTACTAACTCGGTTATCAAAGTTATTGCAGTGAAATTTTCAAAAAAACTTTGACCAATGATAAGATTTTAAGGTCATTCGAAGGTAAGAATCTAATTATGAGGCTGAAACTTTGGAAATGTTTAGTTGGAGAGATACAGCGTTTTCATCATTCATCATTCATCAAATCATTCAATTTCTTGATTAAATCTGAAATTAATTCCTTCCTCTTGTCTTATGTTAATCACTACATTTGATATATCGATACAATTAACTTCATGTTCCTATTAATTTGGATTGTAAAATCAACTTTCTTAATCAAATGTTCACTCTCATTATCAGAGTTAATTGTTTACCATTAATAATACAACAATAATCCAATTGTTATCCATTGTTAATGTCAACTGACAAGATGGATAAGGTTAATTTACACCAACAATCAAAAGTATCAGGGGCTCAATTCAATGAACTTTCACTCGCATCTCAAGCGTAGGAAGTTTACAGGGAACAGGAAATGAGATGAAATAATAACAATGGAAAATAAAAGGCTTGTGATTTACCTTTTATTTTTGTTGATCTGATTTCCATTCAATCCAATTAATCTAATTACAGGGATAATCACCAACACCTCTTGTATTTTGTGAGCCTTGGATTTTGGGTTAAGAATCAAGGGATCAACAGATAATCATTGAATTAATTTCAATGGATTAAACTGATCTCTCTCTCTCTCTCTCTCTCTCTCTCTCTCTCTCTCTCTCTCTCTATTTGTTAATTTGTTTGCTCTTCAATTGGATAAATTGTCAACAATTGATTCTTGACAATTTCTTCAATACTCAATTTCCTTGAGGGATTCAAATGATATTGGTAATAGTTTTTATTCATAGATTGAAATTAAATTGTAATCATTTACTTTGATTATAAACAAATAGCAATCAAGTATTGCAATATATTAACAATTTGTTGGTGATTGTTGCTGATTGCTGTTACTCTAAATCTTATTGATTAAGTGTTATTGTTGTTGTGATGGAAGTTTAGCCTTAGGGCTAATTGTTTTCGATTGCATCTTATTACCTTTGATATTACAAGAGAAATTAAAATGATGTTGAAAAAGAAGATGAAACCATTAAGTAGATTGATCAATGAACTTTTTCTTGATAATCACTTTTAATTTAGTGAAAGAGTTTAAATGTTATCAACTTAATTGCGATACGACAATTGACTTAATCCTTTTAACATTAAAATGAATCAAATTATTTCATTTTCTTACAATTTCTTTACTGTTTATTTGTTACCTCGAGGCGATTGAATAACAAGCAACATGATATTCAATCAGAATAATGAATGAAAATCTTAAAGCATCAAAGATCATTATTGATATGAAAAGAAGATGGAAATGAAAATGGGAGTGAGAGTGAGAGTGAGAGTGGAAGTGAGAGTGAGAGTGGAAGTGAGAGTGGAAGTGGAAGTGGGAATTAAATCGAGGGTTAGTATGTAAAATCTTCTTTGCAATTGAGTTAATTTTCTAAAAGATTCGATTGTCATTTGATGAATAAAAAAAGGGTAAAAACTCAGGTCGAGTTCAGGGTAAGTATCAAATTTTTTTATTATTTTCTCTTTCTTCTCCCTCTCCTCTCTTAACTCTCCCCTTCTCTCTTCATCCATCTTCTTCAAATTTATCTTCATTCTCTTCTTTTTCTTCTTCTTCTTCTCTCCCTCTTCTTCTACTTCTACCATTCTCACTCTCTCTTCTTTGATTTACATTGATGATAAACTAAATAAACTGAATCACTTTTGTTGATCATCTAAAATAATCCAACCCAAAGAAACTAAACAAAAATCATTTTCTTTTTCTCTGATTAGTTTAATTGCTAATCTGCTTATCGATACACTAGATTATCACTCAAGTCACTTAACCTTATGTAATCGGAATTATGATCAAGATAAATATGAAGGTGCAAAGTTGAAAGTGTAAAGAGACCAAAGGAAGAGGGACAAGAAACGAATGATGATAAAGGAAGAAGAGGAAGAAAGATGAAGATTAAATTGCCACCATCAATGAATAAGGTGTAGGATTAATAGTCTCATGTAAATAATAAGGAAGCTAAAAGATGATCAACTTTATGGATTATTAATGATAATCATCATCATCATCACAATGATAATAAATCATCAATGTTAATTTTTTAACAGTTAACTTTTTCCCTTTCAAATGATAAACAAAATGAATCCAATTAGATGGTAAACAATAACAACTCACAAATTCACCTTTCACTTAAATAAATTAATCAAATCAAATCAATTGAAATTCGCTATTAATCAATTTTATCAATCTTTCAATTTGTCAACTATTAATTTCATCATCTCTCCATCTCTCCATCTCTTCATAATAATAATTGTCACCATAAACTTACAGATGACCAGTTACCTTTTACTAAAAGTATCTCGATGACCCAGATAACAAATCTCGTCCATTTATCCTTAGTGATGAAAAGAGAGGGTAAAACTTTTGACCATTAGAAAGGGTAAACTGATGACCATCATCATCTTTACCGTTATCACAAGAGTAATAATAATAATCACTACGATTAGAATCACAGATTAAATTGATTAAATGGATCATTTAACTTTCCAGTGATCATACAAAAAGTAAAGGCTTTCATATTAATCCATTTATTATCCATAACCAATATCATTGGGATCATGTTGGTAAACTAATTGTTACTTTTATCTGTCAACGATTAAAAGTGATTCAATCAACAACATTCATTAATTATTCACTTTTTTTTCATGAAAACATTGAGAAAGAAAAGTTTTCTCACTAATTAGAAAATATAAAAACTTCTTAATCTAATCACCTATTAATTAGATCACGTATTGTTTACTATCAACTCAATATCTTGAGTCTTTTAATTGTTTACATAATAATCATTATCTCATCTACATATTCATCAACAATTAAGTCTATTAGTAGGTAACTTTTTGAATCTAAATTTGATCAAATTCTAGGTGGATTAAAAGTGATACAGATTAAGATTGAATGAGACAAACGTGATCACAATTTATTGTGACAATTTGATGAGTTGCATGATTATTATTATCTATTTACAGAATCGATTCTAATCCGAAAAAAGTTTTATCATCTTTTGGTCTATAATATTAATGTGATCATTTTTGATTATGATCATGAAAAAAATGTCATCACGAGATAAACACATTCAATTTCGTGACAATTAAATATTGTCAATAACTGTTTACATGAATCTCGAAGTAATTTCAAAGCTTTTCCAATGGAGATTAGAAAATTTTATCATAATAACTTTTGGATTTTGCAAAAAAAATATTTCATGAACCTTTTTCATCCAGGGTAACCTACAGATTAGTGGGATATGATTACAATAAGTAAATCAAATTACAAGGTAAATATCAATGATAATAATAAAGAAAAGGTAACAACGTATTAATTACATGATGATAATACTATTTAAACAATAGAGTTTATTTTCAATGTCAATTGTCAATTGATAACAATGAATATCAACCATAGAAAAAAAAACTTTGAATCAACAAAAAGAGAGAGAAAAAAATAAACAATCAACTGATGTAACACCCACAAGACCAACATCAGTAATTGAGCCTTTGTCTCTCTCTCTCTCTCTCTCTCTCTCTCTCTCTCTCTCTCTCTCTCTCTCTCTTTCTTTCTTTTGTTTGGAAGATGAGGAAGATAAATACAGGTAAAGAGTAACCATAATCCTCTGTCTTCCATATGGAAACATTTTATCTTCACCTTTAGATCTTGTCATCGATTCTAATAGTTGATTATAATCTAATCCATTTATCGAATTGATATAATTTACCTGATCCAATATAAAGCAAGTTAATTATTGACTTGTAATGATAATAAATGTTGACAGAACTTTCAACTTTACTTGATAACCTTTAATTACTTTTCATCAACTTATTGGAGATGAAAAAGAGAGATGATGATAAATGATAATCGGCATTTTTATCATCATCATCATCGATTCAAATCATTTTATAGGTGATCATCTGAGATGATAAAAGATACGGAAGAAAATAAAATAACAATGATAAAGAAAAAGATTAAAAGTCTTTCGATTTCATCATCACAATCATTTTAATCCAATAACTTTATTCATTTTCTATTGGATAACAATTGAGACTATGAATATAAATGATGATCGTGATTATGGTTCATTGGATTAGATGACAATTTAATTTAATCATTTTGTTAACTGATTAACTTTTACTCTTACAAATTGTTATTTTTTCATCAATTTAACTTTCATCATCATCATCATCTAGAAAAAGGTGATTATTGTTGTGGAAAAATCGAAAAAATTAAAATTTAAATATAATCAAATTTATTCCTCCCCTTTAATAACCTCAATTCCTACCACGAGTTGTGTTCATTGTAATGTCCATCTCAATGTCCAGTCTCAATGTTTAATATTCAGTTACCTGTAGTTTATCATCACAGTCAAAGTGTAACCTGTTATTATCATTCATCTCTGGTAATTGATAATTTTAATTGTAATCATCTGTTTGATTCCAGTGAAATTAAATCTAATTACAGGAATATACATTATTATTAATACTTTCAATTGTATTAACTTTAAAAGTGATAATTATCACAGACAATCAACTAATTTAATCTAATGTTTAACAATTATCACAACAAATGATGAATCATATTCAATTGTAAAGCTAATTTAATAGTCGTAGTAATAGATTTGAATATTAATTGTAAACTTTGTTTTAATTGTTTTAACAATATCTCTATGATGATGATGGTGATTAATAATGATGAAAAAACTACTTATTGATTGTTATTATTCAATGGTATTGATCCAATTGTAATTACTGATTAAACATCTAACATATTGTTAATATTTGTTTCTATTACTATTTTGATTAACCTAATTAATTGTTTCTGTAAACAAGATCCTGAAAGTGTGTCACCAACAATCAACAATCATTAACTTTAATCACAATAATGATAATAGCCAACACTATGGGTCATTATTGAAAAACGACCAATTTTTATTGTAATTAAGTTTCAATTGATTTTAACGATAAAAATTTGTACTTTTACTGGATCGATTGTATAATTATGGATAAAGGTAATTAGTAGATTCGGAATGATTTGATTTTAATGGTTACGATTAATAGATTTTTACATTGATGGGAAGATCAGCTGATTGATTGATTCTCTCATAGTTGACCAGTTTAATCAACTTTTTTGGCATTAGGATTTAAACCTAAAGTAATTGAACTTGAATATCCGGTGTTACCTAAACCAATTTGGATTAATGTTTCCTCACCATGATTAGCGTAAATATAATCTTGTTCATTAAGGGTTAGTCTTTGTTGGTTTTGTCCATAAGGCTCAGTTAACTTAAGTTCATAGGGTAATTTGTGGTCAAAAAAGATCTGACCAACATAAGAAATTTCATCTCTCTGAGTTGTATTTTTAGCGAAAACTTCAACATGAATATGAAGACAACGTCCATTGTACCAACCAGGAATAATGGTCTTAAAGTTAACTTGACCATTGGAATCGGTGACTTGATAGCCACGACAGAATCTTTCACTGGTTATTGGGGCAGGTCGACCGAAATTGCCCATTCCACTGTCACCGGGTCCACCATGAGTTTCAAATGGTTCGGGTCCAGATTCGTTCCTGTCTTGACCTTCATTTTTCACACCAGAGTAAATTCCAACAGCATTTGCATGCCAAATATGAACATACATATTTTCAAGAGGTGTACAATCATGAGAATTGACTAGATTGATATTCAAATTTAGCTCATGACCAATTTGACCATCGATAACATTAGATCGGTGTAAATCATCAGGTAGGAAATAAGGTCCTTCGGTGTTGAAAGGTGAAAGGACACATGAATGCTGATTAGCTTCTCGTTTATATTTGGCACAATTGACCACAGTTCGGTCATGGTCCAGAAATTGACCTGGTCGATGAGGATCACCAAAGGAAACACCAACAAGAGACAATAAAATACAAGAAAATGTAAATTGAAACATAATTAACTCTAAGAAAAATTTGATGAAACAATTGGCAAATTATAACTCGATTAGACTCTTTGATTAGTTTTGATTATTTGATTATTGATTTTCCTCATTATTACATTTATACAAAACAATTACGTACCCTTATCCATATGATCATCAACTTGTCGCGATTATCGAAAATGATATAGTGGAATAACAATAAACTCATAATCAAATTAACCTCCGAATAAAACAATTGTCGTCAATGTGATAACGTTTAACTATCTCTAGATATTTTCATTGTTTATTAATTAAATTAATCTTGGACTAATTATTGATTGTTTTATCAACAGATTTGCTCTCATCAATTGTGTAATTTAGGTTAATTGTTTTTTTTTGAGCAAATTTGATTAAATCTTATTGTTTATATGCTTGAATTTAATCATCAGTAATTGGAAACAATGAAAAGATTTTATCAAATATTAGCTCGATAAAGTTAATTGTTGTCAACTAAATAAATTGATTCAGTTCAAACTAATACTTTTTACACAAATGAACTCAATGAAAATTCCTGGCTCGAAATGTAACAATATCGTTTATCACCAAAGGGATAAATGAAAGGATAATTATTATTATCATGATTAATGATTAAAAGGTGAGCAATTAATGTCAACTCATTATCCTTATCCTTTAACACCCGCAATAAACAACAACAACGACAATAAGAGATACTACTGACCAGTGGTGATGATGCTGGGTGACCATTAATAACAAGAGAATATTTAACAAAATCAACTGATTAATTATCGATTAATGGTGATTTTTAGTGGCCACCATGGTCATCCCGCTAATCGTATGTATTAATACAAAATTTCATAAATTTATCTCAACTCTCAGAAGAATTAGACCCAAAAGAAGACGATTCCTAAACTAAGTGAATGGACTATATAAATAAAATTAACGAGAAATCACTTCGATCATAAATATTCTCAGACTTGTGATAATAATCGACGTCTTAGCACGTGTATGATGCAAAAAAGAGACCGAAAGAATGAGAGTGAGAAAAAGGAAAGAATGAGTCTAAGAAACAAAAAAGAATAGAGAGAAAGTAAAAAGAAAGAGAAAGAGAAACGCAGAAATTTAAAAAAAGTGGCAGCTCATTGTCATCGGCGATAATCGCTGTCGCTAGCTATCTTGAAGAGAAATGGCCAATTTTCGGCAATGGACCAATCGTAACCAAAGCTACACAGGTGATTAGAAGCACCATTTTGTCCTATCCGCAAAATTTGTTGAACATCGGACTAGAGTTACGAGCATTATCGTTTAAGAAAAAATCGGTTTTTTCAAGTAAAGTCTTCGCTGTGACAGATATTCTATCTTTATGTGTCTAGGTAATTAACGCTCCGCCAAGATCGATCCCACCATGCACTCCCAAAGTGTCACCCGTAACACTACCACCACGAATGGGTCAGTAAATTTCATCTTAGTATCCCACAAACCAACTGGATCAGCGCTGTCACCATGTTCTTCAATGGCCTCAGCCTTTTCCAACTCTAAACGCGAATTAATCAATCGTCTTCCATTTGACCTTCACCACTTTTTAAAGATTCTAGAATCAGAGTTATTGTCATTGCCATTATTTTATTGGTCTGAGCCAAAATATTAATAATTGGTTTTGATGACCTTTACCGAGGATTACCTATCATGGCTATTGAATTTTGATAATTGCTATTCTTAATAAGTAGAAATATTTCAAAATAGGATTGACTAGTAGTCAATGACTACTCATCACAAGTAGCAATGCAATTTGGCTTAACTGTTAATTGCTCAAGTAACATTTAAATAATAAAACAGAATTTAACTTGATTTGAATTAAAGGTAAAAGTAAAACTGGATTAAGCTAATAATGGATTTTTAATCATTTGAAATGATTAACAAAAACAATTGGATTGAAATCTATTGATAGCATATGGCAGTTTTCCCGTTACACTTGATTAATGTTAATCTACAACAATTATAAATATAATTTAGTCCAAGATTAAGGGGATAGAGATAAAGGACAGATATGAGAGAGAAGAGAGAGAGAGAGAGCAGGTAAAAGGTAAATTCGTATTAATGATAATGTAAGGTGACCACTAGTAGATTAATGTAATAATCATAATCATAAGAGAGACGATAAAAGGTCAAGTCAATAACAATAATAAAGGTAAACATATGGATAAATTCAGGAAAACAAAGTATTGGTCAAAGGTAAAGGTCATAAAGGTTTACTTGCTATTCTGATGAAGTTAGTGGACATTTAAGTTTGGGTTACTAATGAATTATCATCATCAACATCATCATCTCCTTGGTATCATAGTAATATTAATGATGATGATGATGATGATGATGATGATGATGATAACTGATTGACCTTCATTTTATTTACATGGTTGTTGTTGATGATGATGTTGTTTAAATGATCATCAAACTAATCAGCTTATCTTGTGGTCAGTCAGTGAAAATGGACATCTGTATAGTCTATTGATGATTATTGTCATATGATGGATCAGTTAATGTTGTTGTTGTTTGGATGATGAAGATGATGAAGATGATGAAGGATTGAGAGAGGGAAAAGAATCTATTTATCAGTAGTTTGTTTACTTTTCTTCTTTCACCATAAAAGTTAATGAGCTTAATCAATATCCGTGGTCATCCAAGATCAACACTAATCCCTTTTTATTTAAAGAGATGGAAAATAATTACCAATAAAATGATAACTCATCAAGATTACTTTTCTTTTCGAAGGCAAAAAGGTTAGAACAATCGATCGTAATACCTATAAACTGACCATTTCATCTTCATCGCTATGGTTCGTTGACCAGTCCACCCATCCGCTTCCTCTTTGTCACCTTTCTTTTGATTCAAATTGTTTCGTTTGAAACCTTTCAATAGTAACTTCTCAAATCAACTGACCTGCTTACTGGCCTTTAATTATTTTACTCGATTCGAGTTATTTTTAAACCCAAAATCGAAAAATTAAAAGCTTCCAATTCCTGTTGCTAATGATGTGTTCAAGCTATTGTGTAACGAAATAGCTTGCTGATCATCAAAATCTAATGACATATAATCAGTTTGAATCAATTAATTTAGTCACGTTAATTAACAATCAGTTGGTGATATGTTACCCTTAATGTCGTTGTCAATATCATTCACATTTGACTTTGATTGACCAACAGTGAACACATCCCAGTCAATGATTGTCTCAGACTCGTGGACACAAAATATAAACACTTTTTCAAAATGAAAGCAAGAGGAAGAAAAGTCTCTCTCTCTTCTTTCTTTCTTTCTTTCTTTCTTTCTTTCTTTATGTCTCTGTGTCTTTATACTCACGTAATAAGTTTTGACATAAACGTATGATTATTGTTATTGACCATTGACCATTCAATGAAATAAACTGACCAATGTTTCTTGTTGTTAAATATCATCGTCATCAATTGTTACCTTAATTCAAAGTTTTAATCACGGATCATTGATCCAATTAACAATAACTACGTCAATGTAAAACCCTAACCCCTTTTCAATGTCACCAAAAGATTAAATATTTATAACAATAAACCATAATTACAATTGATAATCATCATCATCATAATCATGATTGTAATCATATTCTCATTCGCATTCGTAATCATAATCAGTATAACAACAACCCATTCATCTTCAATTCTTATATGGTCCAGTTAAAGTGACCACAACAACATCAACTGGTTTTCGAAATTGTTTCGCAATCCTAATAGATTGACCAATAGAAAATCAAGAAAGAGAGAGAGAGAGAGAGAAAGAGAAAGAGAAAAGGCAAAAGGATTAATAGTGATAATCCAAGATTCTAATTAATCTTGTGGTTTTGTCATCTTCTTGTTTATTCTCAAATTAATTAATGTTAACAATTAAATAGAAATAAATAAAGAGTAATAATCACAATCAAAGTCTCAATGGTATTTTTGGACTCCCTTGATTCTTTGGGTGTAACTGAAACATAGACAATCAATTCGCAAGGGAAAAGATTCATCTTCAAATTGACATTCGATTAACAAACTTGTCTTGTATTATCTTCATTCTTATCGCATCCTCATCCTCATCCTTATCCTCATTCCTATCTCTATCCTTGTCCTTATCATCCTCAGTGATCAACAGCAGATTAAATTGTTTATTATTTGACTTTGATTGTTGTTGTTATTGTCGTTGTTGTATTTGTGTAACTTTAACCCTTTTTACCCGTTTCAATGCTTCATTATCATTGTAACTGTTAACTATTGATTATTATCAGAGCATGATGATGATGATGATTATCACGAGATGAAGATGAAGATGATGTATCACTTTCATTATAATTTGTGTTCATCATCAATGTCCAATACAATAAAAAGATAATCATCTTCATGATCATCATCAAAATTATTGAGAGCTGATGATTAAAAGGAAAGAGACTGAGACTGTTAATCCATTTGATTAAAATGATTATTTTACCATCAAAGTGAACACACTTTTTGTTTTGATAAAACAACATAGACTTTTAATTGGCACGTGATATGATTAACAAATTGTATTGGGATTAATTTCAAGGCTCATTATCTGATTATGACAACAATTAACACCCATTAACAATACCAATTAGTAATCTAAGCTCTCCATGAAATTATCAAAAACTAATTAGAATTGAATACTTTGCATAAGACAATCTTTTCAACGTAAAATGATTAATTGGTCCTCTAATTAGCCAAAAAATAATAATTAATGTTTGTGACTCAACTGATTGTTGTGATAATCAATGCATGATAATTATATTAACTTTTTTTTTGATTGTTCAATTAATCATTTTCATCAATTGTAACACTTATTTGACTCATTAATGATACTTGAGACACTTGATGTTACAATTATTTTTACATTTATTTTCATCATCTATTGGTAACAATCAACATAATCAACTAAAATCAAATCAATGATCAACATTGATTGATGTTAATGATCAAATCTCTAATAATGATCATGTTGATGTCCTTTTATCATCATGTTCATCATCATAATCAACAACAACAACAACAAGTTCACCAAGGAGATAAATATTGGTAAGAGTTGGTGATA